CCAGCGTCTGCAGGCAGAGGCGGATCGGCTTTACGATTTGTCGCAGACGGCGGAGCGGGAGATCGTCCAACGACCCGTGCCGCGATGGGTGCAGGCTGTTGTTCGCATATTCAGGAATTTCTTTTAGGCTCGTCGACACCATAGTTACAATTTTTTCGTTCTTGTTAAGTCCCACATCCCAAATAGTTACTGTAGTTCTTAATTTCTGTTAAATCTTTGCCCTGGGCAAGTGTGTGTTTTTATTTCTGGTAATCGTTGCTTTTGTACGCAGGCTAAAGTTTGTTAACTAATAAAGAAGATTTGTAACGGAATCGAGGGTAAGAACAAGGAAAAGTACCACAACGTGTTCTTATCTCCGTGGGGGATCAAAAGTTCAAACTTAAACACGTGGCTTATAAAATGTACATACATACATATATAAACTTTTCTTTTGTTTAGTGATTATAATCACACCACTTATTTAAAAAGACTCTTCCTAACTTTCTTCATTAACCATACAACATATAGACTGAACATTTCATACGACGAAAATGGACACAAAAATGTTGTATGGTTAGTGCTTTTTTTCCTACGTTAATGGGGTGAATGGTTTTTGCTTTATTTCATACAATGAATTGACCTTACTCGGGATAAATAGGTCACTGACAAATCGTTGATGAAACATTCCTAATTTGTAAAACTTTTTTCTTTTACAATGGACTTAAGCATTTAATTACCTCTGTTTAAAAAGGTAAAAGAGTTCATATAGAGAAAACAACTTAAAAAATAAGTGTATTTAATCTGACTGGTTAAAAATGTATTATTAAATTATTTGAATAAAAAATTTCTCCAATAACGTAAATTCAAATTAATAACTTCCCGCCTCCATACAGCTAGTGATGATAGACGCATACGATAGTCAAGCAGCTGGTAGAGATGATCAGAAATAATCGGATATTATAGTTCATTCGCACAAAGCACATGCAATCGGATTCCCTGCTTTTATTATATTAAATAAGTTGACGGTTATAACGTGATTTATTCTTTTGAACGTAACTTAATGTAACAATTGAGTACTGTTTTGGAAACACCGCATGAAAACTATGCAACTTTCTGGGCTCAATCGTGTTCAGAATTAATTATATGTTTGATACTATCGGTATTTTTGGCACCTCTAAAGCTCGCTCTCCTCTCCAAAACTTAAGACACCGGCGGGCCAAGTCGCTCGCTGTCTTCAATCAGCTGCTTTTTTTTGGCCAGGTAAGACGTCTGCTTCACCTGCGTGCCAAGTCAAGCAAAACGTTATGTGTTTGCTCGCCGTGAAAGTTAAATTAAAATAAATCTGATTATCGCCAAGCAAAAAACGCGGCGCGTGCTCACCAAAGTGTTGTTGGTGTGCTTAAGTGCGATAGTGTTGGTGCTCAGCTGGCGGAGCATGAGTGTTTGTGTGAGTGAGCGACAAATTCCAAGAATATAACAAAAGCAACAAAAACAGAGTTTTTGCAAAAATGTCAAACAGGCGAAGAGTGCGCACAATTGATTACCTGGCGCTGCAGCAGAGTTTGCAGTTGCAAAAGACACAGCAGGAGGAGGAAAATGGCAATGAGAATAGTACCGTTACATCCGAAACACCACCCCCCATCCCACCGCCCATTCCGCCCATAAGGTTACGACGGGAAAAGAGCGTCGACGAGGATGTTGCAAGGTGAGCTTTACCGGTACCATTGGAATTTTCGGGATTTCCCACACAAAAACATGAACTTTCTGCATGGGCACGTAACGGCTCAATTGCGCTCTTTCTCTGTCGCTCTCAAAGCCTTGCTTTAGGTTTTTCCCCTCTTATTCACTCGCCCTCTCTCGCTCTTAATCGCATTTCACCAGTTTTAATTGTTTAAACGTAAACAACGTGTTTTGGGCCATGTTACTTTTGTTGCTGCTTTTGCTGGCTCAACGAACCCGAGAATTTAGCAAACTGCAAGACAAACAAAAAAACCAAAAACAGCAACAAATTGCGAACTCTGGCTGAAATTGAACACTTTGTGTGCAGCGCAATTAAAATTATGCACAGGTGCACTGCGAAAAACACATTCTAGTAGGTGTGTTGTAATAATATTATATATTTTTCTAAACTGTAGCATTTTAGGTAAAGAAAAACTTCAAGCCATTTCATATGGCAACCATTAGAATGAAATTAAATTCAGATTTAACTCAATTGAAGGAGTTATGAAATCGTAGATAAATTATGAAAATTAAATACACTTTTTTTTATCCTATGTGCGCTGTTTTTCGGTGTATTTCGGCATTTATCATACCAGTATTTGTGTTCGACCGCCGCGAGTCTTCCAAGATATTTGCTGATAACGCTGACGGTGCTTTGATAACACATATACACACTTTGAGGGAACTGCGGATACCTTTTCCGCTGTTTTTTTGCACGGGGGGCTTATTCATAATACGTTTAAATTTGATTTGATTTTCATGGGATGAGTGAGTGTTCATGGGGGTTTCGCAGAAAAACGGAATGTCGTATGTTAGCAGGAAATTAGCTGCAAACATAAATTTTCTTTTGGCACCTTCCCATGGAAACTAAGTGAAATTAGGTGAGATTTAACTGAAGAGTAAAAATAGTATATTTGTAGGGTAAACAGTGAGACGAAATGTATCTTGCAAAAAGTATTCATCGATCAGCATCAACAGTTAAAAAGGTAGAAAATAATGAATCAAGACAAGTTTCAATCGACTCTCTTTTATATAAATGTTATTTGGTTGATTATAATCATAATAATTATAAAATTTGAAAGGTAGGCTACATAATGTGTAGGGTATATCATTGTCGGGACACTCGACTAGAGCTCCCTCTTCATTTTATCTCTGGTTTGATGCCGCCAATCTTGTTCTTCTTCAACTCGCATACCTGTTTTAAGGGGTCAAGTAGAAGAAGAGAAGGAGGGGAGACTATTGGAAGTTAAAACGCGTTTAATACGTGCGTTTGCCCACTCTGCTTTGTAACCTCTTTCGTTATTCTGTTTTCAAATCGAATTCGCTTTCTTTTCAAGTCTCCGGTTCCAAAGTTTTGTGTCACCCAGCCGAATGAATGGAATTCCAATGATTGAAGGTCTCCCGCTTAACTTAACTTGGCCAAGAGAGTTAAAGAGCGAGATTGCTTGATCTCTTGCACCGTTTTCACTAAAACTTGCAAGTTCTCCCTCTATATCTCTCCGTTCTAGCCCTCTTACTCTCTCTTTGGGCAATCTGGCATGTGTGCGGTACAATCAGTTGATTTCAGTTTTAGTTTTTGGTGTGTTTGATAAGCATAATTATGGCATGTTTGTATGTGTGTGTACATTGTACACACATATCAGAAAACATTTCCGCATAGCGAACACACCCTCACACACGTTCTCTTGCCATTAAAAGTAATTTTAGACTTTCCAAATGGTTTAATTACCCTGTTTACCTACAATGAACAAAAATCAAACATTATTCTTTCAAGAGATTTTGTTTATTTTTCGATTCTAAATTCTGTCAAAATTAATTTAAATATTAACCGTCAAGATCTAAAATTCTAATTATGAATTTATAAATAAACTGCACGCACTCAACAGTGAATTTCAATGATAGCAATTAATTATTTTTACGAACATTAATTGGCAGTATCAGATTACGGGCTTCATGTTGTTAAGAAAATACAATTACAGACCACAATTTTTAAATATATTTAATTTATTCCAAATAAATATTATGATTTATTAATAGTTTAAGCGTGCAGAATTCTATTGTGACCATATTTATACCCCTTAAATTAAAAACCAAATTGTGAATCAAATTCTAAAAATTTTTTTTTGTGGTTTCAAAGTAAAATCTCAAACTTATTAAATATTTCTAGCATTTTATAATTTACTAAAAATTAATGATTCTAGGATTGCATTATCCTATTTTCCAGCTCACTTTGGTTACCACGAACTCTACCAGTCTATGGGGGATACTGATCGATAAGTCATAACGAACCTATTGTGTTTTTGATTTTTCAATACCTTATGAATTGGGGGACAACGGTGCGAATGTGCAACTTATGTACAAAACAGTGATCTGAATATGAAGTATACGCACTGCTGATCACGTGACAACGCAGAAAATGCCAGAACTGCCAGATAATTATGACATAGATTTTTACATATACGAAGCAAGTTGAATCCATATCGGTTTTTCATTTCCTGGTGAATCTTGCCCGTTCGGAGAAAATTCATTTTGCCCCCGCACTTAGCTCTCTGTTTAAGTAAACACACGGCTAATTAGCTAACGAGCGCGTACATAATAAAATCCCATAAATTAATAATAAATATTCGCGCGGCTGAGCCGATTGCGAACCACAAACAAACGCAGATGCGGCCCACAATCGATCAGATTGCCACTTGCGTTCCACAACAAATACGTCTCATTCTTTCTCGTCAGTTGTGTGACTACCTCTTTTCGCGCTCTTTAACTGCAAATCTCTCTCTCTCTCTCGAAATTACTATATACTTATCTCACTCTGTGTTGGCTCAAAAGATGAGCAAATAATATACTTAAATATTACAAAATATTATTTTATAAATGGTTTAAAATTGTTTATATAATAAATTCTGAAACCGGGCCCGCACATCATTTATATGACAGTTGCATTGATAAAGTTTATTGCTAAGATTACTACTAAAAGTGTTGACCATTTGTGAAGATAATGACCAAGAATGGAAAACCGCAATGTATCCACATTTTTTGACTGTTAGTTAATATAGAGGTCCATTTTTGCTTAAAGTGAAAACAAACAAGCAACAAAAAAATTCTTTTTTACTTTTTGGCGCCATATAGAGCTTTGAGACATAAAAGTTTAACTGGATTCGGCTGCAAACTAGTTAAAAGTAAGGCTCCAAAAAGGCTAGAACACCATCACCGCTTTGGGCTGGCCACCCACTAGTTGCTCTCGGTTGATGGCGGTAAACAATCGGATGCGTCGGCCGGGCGCTCACCGCTCGCGCTTTTCAGTTGGTCGCAGTTGGCAGAGAACTACAGTCGTTTTGGGGGCGACACCGCTTCGTCGGATCGCATATTCACTCGCATACGTTACATACAGATCCGTATACTATACGCATTGGCGAATAGATGGGGGTATATGTTATTCTTGTTAAAAGTGCTAATAAATTGACTGGCTGCGGCGGCAAGTGTTCCGCGTTATGAAATTCGAAAGGGTTCGGTGCGAGGCGTGCGAATTGCGGCCGCCTGTTTGCCAGCTGTGATAAATCCAGAACTACAACGGTGGGAGATAGTGCATAACCCCCAGAAAGATTCCACCGATTGGAAAAAGGGAACCGGGTGCCGGGTGCCGGGTGCCGTCCAGTCATCGTTCGCTGGCTCGCGTCTAAAGTTCTCTCCATCAGCTTGTAATTGTGAGCTGTTGCTTTTTATTAACTCTCGGCTCGTTCAGCCGTTGTTTTTCGTCCCCGGAGTGTGTTGTGCCGTGCAATTAGATGTACATAAATTGGCGGGGGACTCCGATCTCGCTCTGACACCCACCGCAGCAGAGGCTGAAAATAATAATAGCAGCTCTCAAACGCGGCGATAAAACAACAATTTAAACCCGCGGCACTATTAACCAGCGGAGGAGAAAAGAGGACTGCACTCTAAAGTTCTCTCGTTTCGTTGCGACTCGCTGATTTCTGCCGGTTTTGGAGTTATTGTGACCACCAAACTGTGATTACCCAGGCTCCAGCAAAAATGCGTCGAAAAAAGTGAGTGAATTTCGCCATTGGGCTGACGAAAAGTGTGGCGCGATTTACTCAACAATTACGCTAGTAGTTGCCAGCCAATGTCGGCATTTTTTTTTGGTCTCAAATAAATCAAACCTCTGCACATATTAGAGCATAATCGCATGCGTGACAAGCGGCTGTCTGCAGCACCCGCAGCAGTTTGATTAGATAAGGATGTCCTACCAAAACCTCTAACATCTCCCTCCGATATACCACCCAATTTACATGGGATGCACAACAAAAAAACTAATCAAAAAATCGAAATATTTAATTTTAAAATGTAATCATTCTAAAACGATAAATCAAGCTGACTTGGTCTTTTTAGGTCATGGTTTGCAATGATGTAAATACCTTTAAAATCAATGAAATACAATTAATTGGACTGTCCTATGATATCCAAATAAAATGTGTTCCTAAAAACTAATAAATGATTCCAAAGAGCAGAACAAATTTAAACATGACTTGTGTGTGTATAATAAAGATGATTAAAATATTTTTATATAAAAAGTTAATGAGCAAATAGCGTAAAAACAAAAAATCTCTGTGTCAAGGCAGAGTTGAAACAAACAAAATTAAACATTCCTATGAATTTCCAGGAAAGTTTATCAATTTATTTAGCTGCTGACTGCTGACTTTTTAATATTTAAATTCTATTCAAAAAATTTTTTTTTTGAGTGCACACGGTGTATTTATCTGACTTATCGGCGACACTAACCATACAACATATAGACTGGTCATTTCATACGACGCATTTGGACACAAAAATTCGGACCGCGGAAGGTCCACCGCTCTCACAGCAGCAGGTCCATGCACTTCGTGTGCGTTCGGGTTTTTTACTCTCTCATTCTTATTCTCATTTTTATGCTCGCGCACTCATTGCACGAGTTTAGTCGTTCAGTCGCAGAGAGGCGCTTTTTGAAGAAGGCTGCCCTGCGGTTGAATTCGTCTTTGTATGTATGCGTGATCATGCATTCTCATACACGGGAGCATGTGTGCGTTTATTTCATTTCGGCGCATCAAGAATATTTTGTCTTTTGCCACTTTTCAAACTTGGTACCCTAAGAATATGGGCGTATTTACTATTGGGTTATGATTTAAATATTAATATTATATGTTAAAATATATTTTTTTAATATTTCAGCATACATTTTATTCTTGTTTACAAATTCAAATCAGTGGTAGCAGTAAAATGTTTTACATATATGTATGTATTCGAATTTATAGAAATCAGTCTACTGAGATCGGAACAGGGCATATCGTAGTCGTGTCACTTGAAACACCGACTGCTCTTCAGTGGTTGAGAAAACTTCAAACTAAATCAATTTTTGTCGATGTTTTGCGAGCGGTTGGTGCCTGCATACCCTACCGACGATTGCTTTTAAGGGGAGCGGGCTTTTAGGACACTTGTTTTAAATGTTATGTTTAGTGATCTTTGGTTGATTTATTTTTTAATTTTTAATTGTCTTTAAACAATTCGTTAAAATTCAAGATATTGTTACAATTAAAATCTAAAATTATAATCATTAAAATAAATTATTATCATTAAAAAAATGTGGATTTTTATATTTGTTCCATTTACATTTTCAAAAATATAAAAATTATTTTATTATTTATTACTTGTTTATATTAAATTAAAATAACACTGCGAATCATTAAAAAATAAATCAACCAAAGATCACTAAACATAACATTTAAAACAAGTGTCCTAAAAGCCCGCTCCCCTTAAAAGCAATCGTCGGTAGGGTATGCAGGCACCAACCGCTCGCAAAACATCGACAAAAATTGATTTAGTTTGAAGTTTTCTCAACCACTGAAGAGCAGTCGGTGTTTCAAGTGACACGACTACGATATGCCCTGTTCCGATCTCAGTAGACTGATTTCTATAAATTCGAATACATACATATATGTAAAACATTTTACTGCTACCACTGATTTGAATTTGTAAACAAGAATAAAATGTATGCTGAAATATTAAAAAATATATTTTAACATATAATATTAATATTTAAATCATAACCCAATAGTAAATACGCCCATATTCTTAGGGTACCAAGTTTGAAAAGTGGCAAAAGACAAAATATTCTTGATGCGCCGAAATGAAATAAACGCACACATGCTCCCGTGTATGAGAATGCATGATCACGCATACATACAAAGACGAATTCAACCGCAGGGCAGCCTTCTTCAAAAAGCGCCTCTCTGCGACTGAACGACTAAACTCGTGCAATGAGTGCGCGAGCATAAAAATGAGAATAAGAATGAGAGAGTAAAAAACCCGAACGCACACGAAGTGCATGGACCTGCTGCTGTGAGAGCGGTGGACCTTCCGCGGTCCGAATTTTTGTGTCCAAATGCGTCGTATGAAATGACCAGTCTATATGTTGTATGGTTAGTGTCGGCGATTAGGCGGCACTTGTCCGCCGTTGCAATTAGCGAAACAATTAGGTCAAGCCCCTGGCTCTAGACAAGTGCAAATAGACTATCAACCATGACATCCAACGCCTTCATAATCCGTATCCGTATCTTACAGAGTGGAGTACCGTGTAAAGCCGACGCCTTCGCGGCCATTGCAGATGGCTGATGGCCGGATTGGAGCTCTTGAAGAGGACATGCCGCCGGAGGACGAGCTGGCGGCCCACTATGAGGCATTCGGCACTACCCCACCTCGCACTCGGCTCAAAATCAAGAACCGCGACTGGGAACGCAAACAGAAGGTGGTCAATGTGGCGGCGTGAGTATAGACAATCAATATGGGGTGCTCCAAATGGCTGGCTGAGATATATTTGGCACTAAAGTGGATGCGATAAGGGTTTGCGTCCATGCTACAGGCGTGATCGGCACTAGTGCCGAAAGCAGACCTACCAAATGTCCATATGCTAACATATGCTGCACCTGATAGTGCCATCTCTATGGCTGATGTCATCTGTGTACGCGCGGTTGTCATTTGAAAATGTGTAAAAGTTCGCTGGGATCAAAGATCATTTTGAAGTATTATACCTAAAATATCAAGTGTTCAAATTTCATTTTAAATGGTTTTATTTATTTAGATATTGTTGTTGTTCGCCAACTACTTTAATCAAAGTCTTAAGATTATTTTAATGATTAGGTAGAAGCTATTGTTTAAATAAATATTTAAATAAGTCATAAACAAATGCTCTTAAATATTGTATTATAATTTCTAAATTATTTCAAAGGTGTTTCAATAAATTATCAATTAGAAATTAATGGATACCCTCCGAACTACTTTGCTTTAGATATCATCGCTTTTACCATAAGTAGTATCTAATTATATTAAACATATTGGACTTTTTAATATTTCTTGCATTTTAAATTGAGTATAAGGAGAAATAGACTGATGACATATTTTAAAGTTGCACTTAACCATTGATAAATGTTGCGCTGTTGGCTTGTTATTGCAATTCAAAAGTCTTTTCGAAACTTTAGGTTTATTTTTCTGTAAGCGCTGACGAGGTGAAACAATAAACATTAAAAACAGTATGTCATTAACGTAAACGGAAGTTCGCGTAGTGACGATGAGCACCGGTAAAACCTTAAGTGTAATGCATGTAAAAGAAAAAAAAGTTGTATTCTTCAGATGGCAACCGTGGGTCTTTATTAATATTTTTGGTCGATCACTTATTAAGCCAATTATCTTAGCTCCGCAGATTTACCCGCCAGTGTGGGCGGTACGCCCAAAAAGAACACCCGGATGGCCCGATCGCGCGTCCTGCGGCGCAACACCATGGACTGCGCCCTGCTCAACGAGATGTTCGTCAACGAGGAGAGCAAGCGGACGGACAAGCGGCTGCAGTCGTTGCTCCGCGACTCGGAGCGCGAGATGAAGAGCTCGCTGGCCACGACGGCGGTGGCGGCTCCGCGGGGCAACAGCTTTCACGAGACGGCACACCCACTGGAGTCTCTCGACCAGATCATGCCGCTCAGCTCGGAGACGATGGCGCCGCTCCCACTGCGGATTGCCTCCAAGGTGGTGGAGAGCTGCAACCGCTACCGCTGCGTGTCGTCACGACCGATTGGCTATCGCTCGTCGGCGCCGCCATTGGCCTTTGCCGCCCAACTGCCCGCCGGGATGTTGAGAAGCGATGGCAGGGCCACCGCTGGACTGGGGAAACGAAAGGACTTCCACGACACGTTCGCCAACCTCATTAAGCTGGGCAGCGTGGACCGTCAGGATGCCAAGCTGTCGCAGGAGGAGCACACCTGGCAGACGGAGCTGAAGGATCTCATCTGGCTGGAGCTGCAGGCCTGGCAAGCCGATAGAACGGTGGAGCAGCAGGACAAGTATCTCTTCGAGGCGCGACAGGGCGTCTCCGAACTGCTCACCCACATCATCAACTACAAGTTCCAGCCGCGTTACCGTCGCGAGCCGAGTCTGATCAGCCTGGACAGTGGAATACATTCCGATAGTAACTCCAATGCCAGCTGTAAGTCCGCAAACTGCCCTGTGAAAATGTATCCCTCTATTCATACTAAAAATCCTTTTCAGCTCCGCTGCCCAGCAAGATGTGCCAGGGCTGCATGTCGCTGTACTGCAAGGATTGCATGGATCACCAGGAGTTGGCGCTGCGGGAAGTAGAGCACATGCTCTCGCGTCTGGAAGCCGCCGAGGCCCTTTACCCATCTTCACAAGCCATGGGCGCCCTGCATCCCATTTACAAGTCACAGAGCTTTGTGGGTCGCATCAAGTCCATGTGCTTATGGTACAACATTACCAAGCAAAACAAGCTTAAGCTCAGTATTTTGGGCAAGATTCTAGCCAGGTAAGAAGCGGATATATTTCTTGAAAACCGTTATAATACCAATTAAATTACAGGCTGCAGGACGAGAAGTTCTCCTGGCCCGTCTGCACGTCATCCTACATCGCCACGGATAGCGGCAGCTCATCTGCCTCTGGTGTGGAGAACGATGACTCGGCTGTCAACTCGATGGACTCATCCAAGCCGCCCAGTGTGACGGGATCGGCCACGCGCAAGGGCTGTCGCAACGGAAGTGTCACAGCCTGCCACAAGGTGCAGTTCATGCTAAACGATGCCACTCATGTGCCCGGCGAGACATCGAGCAGCAATGAGTAAGTCGATTGAGTCTGAAATGGTGAAAGAGAACACTTATAATTAAAACTCCATCAGATCCACATCCACGGAGATCAGCCAGCTGTCCAGTGAGTGCTCGCACGGCCACATGCGCAAGGGATCCATGCACGACATCAACATCTTCAGTGTGGAGCCATTGGGTTCGTGCAGCAACAATGGAGCTGGAGAGCAGTCCACGGGATTGTATCGTAAGTTCATCGAGAATGTGCTCAAAAGTCGTGGACTGGCCAAATCCCTGGCATTCCTACACAAACTGCACAACGTGGCCCTGTACAAGGCGCACATCGCTCTGGAGAAACCCGGAGCCGAGGACTTGGATTACGATTCAGACACGGAGGCCGTTGAGGAGGATGTGCCGCGACTGGACCCGAAAATTAGCCGCGAGCAGGTCGTGGAGCTGCGCACCTACGGCTACTGGAGCGAAGAAGCGCAATCGATTAATCTGCCCTCGTACATTCCCACCTTCGTCTTCCTGAGCGGCATTCCGCTGCAGTTCATGCACGAGTTCCTGCGCATGCGTCTCGAAACGCGACCCGTGCGACCCAATCCCCTGAGTCTGGAGCAGCTGATGAAGGAGCTGCGTGAGGGTTTGACCCTGGCCCTGACCCATCGCGAGCGGTATCAGCGTCACATAACCACGGCCCTGGTGGAGAACGAGGCGGAGCTGGGCAGCTACATTAGCATTCTGAATCACTACGATGCGACGGTGCGGAAGACCTTTGAGCTGTACCTGGACTACATCGACCAACTGGTCCTGGTCGCCGTTCCCGAGGGCAACCAGAAGTCGGTGCTGGAGAAAGAGTGGATGTTCACCAAGCTGATAAGCCCCATGATCAAGGGCATGCACACATTGGCCTCACAGAAATTCTGCGGCATCATCAGCAAGCTGTTGCGCAACATTTCCGAGCGACTGGTGAAACGCACTGTGGAGCTGGACCAGCAAATCGAGGGCACCAACGAGAGTGACGACAACGAGGAGGTCAAGTGGCAGCTGCTGACCATCTGCCGGGAGACGCAGTCGCTGCTCACCGTCGAGCGGGAGCGCTCCATCAAGGTGCTCTTCTTCGCCAAGACCTTCTGTCGCGACGTGGAGACCACAGACTTCCATCGCGAGCACTACGAGCACGACGTGGCCAACCAGCAGCACGACTTCATCTGTTCGGATGTGAAGGCGGCATTTAAGTTGTTGCAGCAGGATGTTTTGCAGGTGCGCAACAAGCTGACTGCGATCATCGAGGGCGTACAGAAGCGCTGCTGCTTGAGCAACATGCGGGACTTGGACGAGCAGGACAAGCAGGCTGTTCTGTCGCGCACCCGCGAGATCCTGCACCAGGGCTACAAGTTTGGCTTCGAGTACCACAAAGATGTGATCCGGTTGTTCGAGCAGAGGATTATGGACCAAAAGGACAGCGGTGCGCATACGGTGGATCTGGCATTGGGCATCATCGCCTACGCCAAGATGTGGATGCACTTTGTAATGGAGCGTTGCGAGCGGGGGCGTGGCATGCGCCCTCGCTGGGCCTCCCAGGGTCTGGAGTTTCTAATTCTTGCCTGTGATCCGCAAATCACTCAGCACCTGGACGACCACGAGTTCGAGGCGCTAAAGCAGCAAATGGATCGCTGTATTTCGCACGTGATTGGCATCACATCGGAGCCGGAGAAGGTGGCCAAGAAGAAGGCCTCGCCACGCACACGCAAGACTTCGTCGCCGGCAACCTCACGCTCCCGCACCCCCACCCGGACTCCCATGTCCGCTGGCATGGTGCTCAATCCGAATACGCCGCCGCTGCAGTCGCCACCGTTCAACAAGCTGCTGCATCCGCAGTTCAGCTTGAAGGAGGATCTGCTGCAGCAGTCTGCGAACACCTACAGCTCCGTGGACAGTGCCGACTATGTGGACACTCCGTGCCAAAGGAGTCCCAATGGCGAGCTACGTCTGCTGGTGCCCCAAACGCCGCCGACGGCCGCCTCTTCCGGGAAGGCCAGCATCGAGAGCACACCGCTGGCACTGCGGCAGGAGCGGGTGAGGGATGCGGTGAATCGCCTGGATATGGATCTGGAGGACTCGTTGCGCGAGCGCCGGCTGATTGGGCAGGTGAAGTCACTGAACTCCAGCGACAAAGTGCATATACGAGCACGAAGTGTCCACTTCCGCTGGCATCGCGGCATTAAGATCGGCCAGGGACGCTTCGGCAAGGTGTACACGGCGGTGAACAACAACACGGGGGAGTTGATGGCCATGAAAGAGATCGCTATTCAGCCGGGCGAAACGCGGGCGTTGAAGAACGTGGCTGAGGAGCTAAAGATACTGGAGGGAATCAAGCACAACAATCTGGTGCGCTACTACGGCATCGAGGTGCATCGCGAGGAGCTGCTCATCTTCATGGAACTCTGCTCCGAGGGCACCCTCGAGTCGCTGGTGGAGCTGACGGGCAATCTGCCGGAGGCCTTGGTCCGCCGCTTCACCGCCCAACTCTTGGCGGGCGTGTCCGAGCTGCACAAGCACGGCATTGTGCATCGCGACATCAAGACGGCCAACATCTTTCTCGTGGACGGCAGCAACAGCCTGAAACTAGGCGATTTCGGTTCGGCGGTCAAGATCCAGGCGCACACCACCGTGCCCGGCGAACTGCAGGGCTACGTGGGCACGCAGGCGTACATGGCGCCGGAAATGTTTACAAAGACCAACAGCGATGGCCATGGCAGGGCCGCCGATATCTGGTCGGTGGGCTGTGTGGTTGTCGAGATGGCCTCGGGCAAGGTAAGTGCTTCACATTCTAGATAAGCGTACTGTCCATTTCACAACTTTGGACTATTTGCGTTTTGATTTAGCTACAATTTTTAGAAGAAATTTATCTAAATTATGAAAGTAGTTTGATTTTTATATTTCTTACACTGGGATGTAATAACTACAATAGTTTGTATGTTAGTTAGTTAGTAGTATAGTATCAACATAATTTATTTTTTAATTATAACTTAATGTTAGTCTTTGAAACCTTAGCGATTTGCTCTAGCAACAATTTTGAAACGAAACTATTATGGAATTTTTTCATGATAAGCAAAGCAGCTTATTAAATATTGATTACACTGGTATATCAAATTATACCATTTTTTATACCTTCTCAATAATTACCAGTTTTCTTACAATTTTTAAATAGACAGATATTTGATTTTAAATATTAAGCATTTAAATATTAAGTATTTATAATAGTTAATGCAGATATGTATTGTATTACTCTCTTTTTGATTGGATTAACTTTTTTTGTTGCCTTATATTTATATGCGCGACGTTAATTCCTGGTTCCTTTTTCATTTTCTTACAGCGTCCTTGGGCCCAGTTTGATTCCAATTTCCAGATCATGTTCAAGGTGGGCATGGGCGAGAAGCCGCAGGCTCCGGAGAGTCTCTCGCAGGAGGGGCACGACTTTGTCGATCACTGTCTGCAGCACGATCCCAAAGCTCGCCTGACGGCAGTGGAGCTGTTGGAGCACAACTTTTGCAAGGTATGCAGACTTCGAAACGTTTCGTTTTCAAATATAATATACTTCTTATTTATTACATGTGCAGTATGGACGAGATGAGTGCAGCAGCGAGCAGTTGCAGATGCAGGTGCGCGGCTCTTTCCGGCGGAATGTGGCGACAAGCAGCTAATCGTGACCCGGTGCTTAATTATCTATACCTCCGTTTGTTTGGCTCACCCCTACATATGGTGCATATGTGAAACGGTGTGAGCTTTGCTTAGTGTCTAACTTATGTGAATGTTGACTATTTGAATGGCCACGTCTAGTTTTATGTTGGACAATATATAACCCGTATAAAGTAATCAAAACCTGTCGTCGTCCCGTAGCCCAAATCATTTATTGCAAGTGAAGATTACACGTATTTAATTATAATTGCAGTTGAATTTTTAATTCATAAATTGACCATGACTCTAGGCACCGTAGAGGGGATAGATAGTGCTCATTAATGGGGTGGCATTCGTGGGTTCGGCCGTCGGAGGTCCTTGGACGGAGCTAGGTGCGTTGTTGTCGACGGGAGCACCAGTCGGCGGGGTTGGGTTCGGAGTGGCAAGGCTGGAGAAGGCCGCGACCCACGAGGAGCACAGCATGAACACCAGGCAGAGGCTGAGCAGCAGGTTGAAGTCTGCAACGAGTTTGAGGGATATATCCACGGATCGTACTGGCTGCTACTCCTTTTGCTATACTTACATTTCATGTTGGTGGCGCGTCTGAAACTGTTGACCGACCGTTGACGTCTAGGTCTTTTTATTGCCACCCGCTTGGCCTTTTGGATGTTTTTTAATTAATTCCCCAAAATACTATCTGGCATTGGATTATCTTATTAGTCCCTTATCGACTTTACCAGCTGGATATTAAGAACTGCGCAACGGCTGTTTTGTTTCAGCGGAAGAGGACTTATCTATTCTTGGAAATAGCCATGAAAGCTATGACCAATTTAGCCGTGCAGCCATAGCAATTCTATATGCGATTGTTTTCATTCACAGGCAGATCAATTGTAGGTCAGGAATAATGGTCTTGAGTTGTAATGCATTTATTTCATTTTATTCGCTTGGTGATTATTTTTGCATACATTAAATGCGGCACTCGGCCATGGAAACAAGTCAAACTTAACGACAAATAGTAGGTTAACGTAATGATACACAGATCGAATACAGGATAGATAGTTGGATAGTTCATAGCGATAGTTCGGTTAACAGTTTAGAAGATAATCATACATATATAGTAACAATGAACACAGCAACTAGTTTGATATATGTATCTGGTTGTTCTCTAACGTTTCTCATTAAATTTCTCTTGTAAATAACGTACGTATAATATTTATGTATATATTTTATATATATTTTTGTAGAACATTAATATCTCGAATCGCTACCGAAACATACTTTTTTCACTAACGGCTTGAACAGACAAACACATATAGGTTATATATCTATAGCTGTAATCTCCTGTTCTTTTGCCTTCCTGGGGTGTATATAAATTTATTGATATGTATTGTTACGTCTCAAGTCTATACGCGTACATGATGTTCTCTATATATATTCATCTAGATTTTTTTTGTTATTTTCATGGGTTGTACATATATATATATATTTCATCCAAAAAGCCTTTAGTTACGGTATACCATTTGCTCTCTAAAACACGAATATATATGGAAATATCTCAACAGACACTATATAATTGGTTAATAAATTCTCAAACGAACAACAACGAAATTGCAGTAACAAGCGTAGATAGTACTTTTAGTATATGTTTAGCTAGTATCTTTTGTAACATCTATAGAACGAATTTAAAACTCAACTCTCGTAACGAAAAGTATTGCATACTTGTGGGCTTGCGCTCAATAATTCGCGGACAATAGGGGTAATCAAGTTCGTAAGCTCGGCTATCTTAGTTAGCACATGAACTAGTATAACACTCATAATAAATATTGCACAAGTAACACACTAAGATAACAGCACTAACAGTTTGGCATAAAATGGCTCTAAAACATTTAATTGACTTATAGAGTTGCACTAATTCCAGCTACAAGGATAATTGGGCAAAGGGATATGTAAAGCGAATGGGTTGCATATAGGTTTCTGTCTCAACATGATTGTGATTGACATTAGTTTTCGATTTCGTTATCCTCCTCGATCCTTCAGATCCCCACCCCTCGTTGGGTGGCTCGCTTGGTGGTGCTTGGTCACAAATGAAACGCCCGGGCGGTCGCTAGTTACACTTACTTAGTTTAGTTCGCTAACCTGCTAAGGTACATTCACTGATATGTTTCGGTCTCCCCCATCCATCCATATTGGGGCTCTAATTTTGTAGTAGATCGCGCATTATGTCCAGCGATTCCTGCAGCGATTTGGCGTATCGCGAGGCACTCGTATCCTCGCAGGAGTAGAATGCGGACACGCAGAAGACGATCTGCTCCGGCTGCGGATTGTAGGAGCATCCGTATCCACGTGGCGTTACCGGTCCATAGCCCATGAAGCTGTCCGTGCTGCAGGCCACCTATGTGGGTATTACAAATGGAGCATTAGACATATCCTTAAACCCCTTCTGACAAATCCTCAGGTAACTAATGCTTTTGGGCAGGAAACTTTAATTTTCTAGCCGATACCTACTTGTGCAGCTGTTTAGTGCTCAGTGGTGCTGTGGTGCAAGAATTGATTAGATGGTGCATAGGTGAAAGAGTGCAGGGTGGTGGTGGTGCTTTTTAGCGGGCACCTGGCTCGTTACTACCTGACTTGTGGAGAGTAGGAAGCACTGCGAGATCTTGTAGGCCTCGTCCTTGAACAGCTCGTGCATCTCGCCGGTGACTTCCACACTGGCCTCCCGGAGTCCCAGCAGCGGTATATCGATGCCATTGCCCAGGATGTTCTTCACCATCACCTCCGTCTGGCGGGCGACGGCGCAGCGGAACAGCTCACGCAGGTGATCCTTCTGTGGGTGGCAGCGAATATAAGTTACTCATTCTTAGGGGGTGGGTATGCATTATGGAATACCCACACTGTAAATGCTAAACTTGACCTTGCGTGACTCCTCCTCGTCCTCGCGATCGCTCTCCAGGGGCACGTTGGCGCCCTCGCCCTGGCACATGGCCTTGGCCCACTCCAATGCCTCCGTGCTGGCGGCTCTGATGCAGTCCACTCGACCCTGGAAAGGAATATCCAGTCACAAATTATATGAAATGATGGACATGAAAAATAATACATTTCCAATGATAACAAATCAATTTGTTATTTACCTACATTCATAGATGTGCGTACCGACTTTATTATGTATCAAAGCAAATAATAAAAATGGTTTTATAATTAAAATTTAATAATTGTACCCGTTCTTATTGTGTTCGTTTAAAAGTATGGTAGAAGGAAGCGTTTGCGACCCTATAAAGTATATATTTACATATCTGAGTACATATCTCAGATATGGTTAGAACGATTTATTAAGCTGTATTTGTTCATTCGCCCAATCGACTCATAGAAGTCGAAGTTTTTAGATTTGACCCTGATCCTTATTTTAAAATTGGTTAGTTGAGTAATCTAGATTTCTGGGTACTCGATTAAAACGCTTCTTCTTGTTTTTAAGTTACAATTGAGGTATTTTTGGTAAATGCTATAACAATGTGCTCATGTTATTTTGTATTATGTATTGAATTGTATTTATGTATTATGTATTTTAAATGTTATATATTATTGATTGGGGAGTTAATACATAAATACTTACATGCAAAAATCGTCGTGTGGAAGCACTTTCGTAGGTGGCCACCAGGTGGCCGTAGAGCTTGTAATGGGCCAGTTGCAAGGACAGCTGGATGTATACGTCCGGACTGACCTGGCACGACTTGATGAAGCTTTTGCCGTAACTCTGGTAGCGGTACACGTAGAAGTCCAGGTCATCGATGCATTTATCCACGCTCTGGGACGCCTGGGTGAAGCGCAATTGCAATGGCTGACCCACGTGCCACTCGAGACGCTCCGGTGGCGGCAGATGATGTTGGGGCAGCCCGTTGTCCTCGTCCGGGTGTTCCTCGATGTTCTTGTAGATCTTCTCCAGCAGCTGAACCACAGCAATGCCCTCGGAACAGGAGTGCTCATAGCACAGGCCCCAAGTTCCATCAGTGCAAATAATGAGCTGGAGAATGAATATTCCGTTTCAAACATTACAGAAATATACAAATTTATCTAGCAAAGTCAACGGTGCGTATGAGTAATTTAATAAAGCTAGATAGTTTTTAATAAAAATAAATTGTTCAATATTACAAAAACATATAACTCTAATTTTTGCTTGTGAGACCAGATATTCAATCTAGAAACTAGATTCTAGATCATCAGCTTTAATCACATATCAATAAACAGCTAAAACATGTTGGGAATTATAGCTTCACAGGCACTCTAAAACTCGATAAGTTTAGTGCCTTTTCGTTGGACTTTTAGTTTAAAAGTTTTATAAATGTGGTTAAAAATAATTTGTAATTAACTAAAACACTCCCTTAGTTTAATCTATAGAACTATATTTTAAATATAAACTTTAAATATATTGTAAGCCCACCTGCATGGTCTTGTCGAACCAGCGATTCCCAGAGTTGTACTCGCTGCCGCCGCCGTGGATCATCTCGTGGGCCATGTTCGTCTCGTCCCGATCCCCAGCCCTATGGACGGTGGGCGTGGCGCCGGTGAAGCCGCGGGCATTGAAGTTCCCGGCCAGCGGTTCGTCCAGGCACAGCACCACCTGGGCGGTCTCGATCAGCTCCAGATTGCGCTGGTTCCGTTCGTCCAGCTGCAGCATCTCCCGGTCGCGGGCCCACCGGCTCCTCGGCTCGGCGGTGAGCAGACCCACCGGCGCCGGCTTGCCGGGCAAACAGGGGGCATCGCTGAGGACGTAAAGGATCTGTGAGGCGATCTCGCTCGCGGACAACTTGCCGCGGTCGCTGGCCTGCAGCACCACGCAGTACATCTGGTTGCGACAGATGACCACCACGTGGCGGTCCTCGTCGTTCAAGCGCTCCCGCGACGGCAGGTACTGGGAGTCCTGATCGACACCTGGTCGGCGGCAGGAGCCCAGCAGGCGGTAGTACTGAGCCATGCACAGCGGCTGGTTCTTCTCCCGCGAGGCGGCGCGCTCCAACGGCAGCTCACCGCTGTCCAGCATCTCCTTGTGGCTCATGATGCCGTCCAGCAGGCGGGCAGCGAAGTGGGCCACGTCGTGGACCGTCTTGAAGCGACGCGGCGGGAACACCATGCCCGGATTCGAGTTGATCGGCAAGGGGATGCGAATGTCCATGTACATCTCGTTGAGCCAGTAATAGTAGGCCTGGAAAAATGTAACAATGGTTTATGGATTGTGTTTTTACCTAGAAGGAGGTTTATTGATATACATTCACACAAATTATATCACTAATCCCTCATAATAAATCAATAAATAGAACAAAGTAAGTCCAAATGTGTTGTACTCAATTTAAACATTATTCGCTTTGATTTTATATTCGGTTTTCAGTTATTTTAAATATGAAAATATTACAATTTACGGAAATTATGTTAATATCTGAAAATTTTAAATAAATTGGAATTAAATTTAAATTAAATAACATGCACTTAAATCCGCATTTATTGAAATATTTTAATATTAAATTATGCACTTTAATACGCATTGTATTTAATTTTATGATTAAATATTTAATTTAAAGATATTTATTTGAAATTATAGTTATTTGACCCATTATAAGTATGCCTGCCATATATGATTCCAAAGTTATAAAATAAATCTCCAAAAGATCAAGATCAATGATCCAGTAGTAACCCTGACCAATTAGAATTTCTTTCTCTTAAAGATTGGCTTTAAACTCAATATAGCCTTGATAAATTTTTATATTTAAAATATTAAACTGTCTTTAATAACCATACATTTTGATATGTTCTCATTTTATTTATGGGGAAGGGCAAGACATGGAAAACGTGTTAGTTACGCTATTTCATTTCTGTGTTTGACACAAATTCAATTAGCCATGAATTTTGGGAATTTTTTGGGCGCGGTCTGAACGCCTATCGCAAAGAATCGCTGATTGGTGATTACTGATCGCTGATAGCAAGATGCGGGGTGGTATAAATAATGGCAATTGGACCGGTTACAGAGCAGTACCACAGTTCCCCTGAACAATCACGGATAACCAAACGGACCCAGCCCAAAGATGAAAGGTAGGATCCACTGCCCTCTTACAGCCTCTTAGAGCTTCTCTTTATAATTCACTGTTTTCCTTGATCCTGGCAGTATTCGCATTGACCCTCTTGAGCCTGCTGGCTTTGAGCCAGGCCCGCATGGACTACAAGCTGCAGTGCACCCGCAGTGAGATCAGCATCCGCTGGCCCAGCTACCACAGCAACTCGGAGTACTATGTGTGCCCCAGTGTCTATGGCAGCCAGCTGACTGTCCACTGTCCGGCCGGCGAGGTCTTCACCTTCGTCCTCCAGCAGTGCGTGTCGCCCGCCCACTACATCCCGGCCCCGCCCATGGACGTCCTGCCCACCGCTGCACCCGTCACCATGCACGTCATCGATAATGCGCCCCCAGTGATCTCTGCCCTCTCTCAGCCAGGGTCCGAGACCCAGGAGCATCATGAGCATCACGAGCACCATGAGCACCAGGAGCACCACCAGGAGCACCACGAGGAGGAGGCTGAGGTTCATCCCATTCCACCCACCCCCGCTCCGGAGCCAGCCACCCCACCCACCGTTGTCATTACCAAACCCGTTGTGCCCGTGCCCCAGAAGAAGAGGCCCTCGGTCCCTGTCCCCGCCAAGGCCGCCATGGCCAAGAAGCCCGCCTCCGCCGCCAAGAAGCCAGCTGCTCCCACTCCCGCTAAGGCCGCCAAGAAGCCAACGCCACCCAGCAAGGTCCAGAAGAAGCCAGCCACCGCCTAAGCCGTCTAAGCCGCCCATATAGCCATCGCCAGTTCAATGCCCAACGTTCAGCAAGCGGAATTTCATTCACCACTCTAAATAGCAACTTAAAGTAATTAAATATCTAACTGGCATAGAGACTTTCGTTCACATTTCTGTACGGGAATGGGTTTGGGGAATGGCTGTTGTTGTTTCCAGAACTTCCTTATCGCGGCAGAGAGTCAAAGTGGGTAATTGATTGCGATTTCTTGTTATTCACGGAATATTTTGATAGGCCACAACTGACATCCGAATCCGATAATGTAAAATTAAAAAGAAAAAGTGAAGCATAGATAGGGACTACTTAGCTGTCAGAACTGAGCAATTGGGCTACTCCACCCTTAATTTAGTATTCGAATATTGATTTTTATTGACTTTAATTACGTAAAGATAGTTAACGAAAGAATAAACAGTTCTAATGTCAAGTGTTGAGATATATTTGAGAGGTTTTATTGAAAAGTTAGCCGCTACTCATGAATCCTTTACAAGAAGTAGTGATAATTTTAAGTGGTGGTAGTCCTTTTAAAATTTCCCAACAAGTTTTTGGATACATTTTAAATACGAATAGACCAACAGACAAGCCTGCCTACTTTGAGTCAGATTAAGTTCGTGATCAAGGATAAATACAAAATTAAAAAATAAATAATAAATATAATTTAAAAGATTTAAATTAAACCTTTAAACCATAATTAATATAATATGAACAAATTACCTATTTTGTGAATTACGTTCTAAATGACCTTAAACAAGCAAAATGTGTCTCAAAATATTAAAAAAATTTTAAATCTCATTTAAGATGAAAATCTAATTACGAAACGAATGCCTTTCAATTTTTTTAGTTGCACTTTTGTGCAAATGCTTAAACAGAATACAAATTTTGTAACATTTGTTTTATTTTAAGTTTTTTCAAAAGTTCAAATTGTATTTTGTTCCTTAGTTTAGCTCACGGAAAATATTAGCCTTTGGTTCTTGAATTCCAAGTAACCCCACAACATTGCCATTCAAGCATTTCAGGGGTAATGACAGTGATTCCCCAAAACAAAAACGAATTCGATGATGTTGTGGAGTAACATCGAGTGCTATCTGCATGCCAGAGATAGAGTGCCGAGAACTTGAGTTCGGCAGAAAAGGCCATGAAGTCATTACCAGTGATCTCAGCCTGGCGAGATGATCTAGTGGCGATGCTAATTGACATGACACCCGGAATGAGAAGTTCCTACTTGGTCGCTTGGCGGTAAAGATTCGGAATAGTTTCCGCCACGGCCTTATCTGGCCGAGATTACCGAAACTTCGGGGGCGACGAGTCTAAGGCGCAATTAGGCACTGCCTGGCATGCTGATTTCAATTTCGCACCCCGGCCGACAAGACACGAATTAATCTAGCAGCGGGCTGATTAAACGTGTCTAACATGCCCTGCCGCGGCATAAAAAGGCTTTGGAGCTGGCTGGAATGCATCAGTGATCGGTGAGCCGAGTTAGCAGCCAGACGCATTCCTTCTCCAGTCTCGCAAGGAACGAAAACGAAAAGCATCGTCAACATGAAAGCCGGTAAGCAGCACCATTAACAGGCTACCCAGGATATAGCCATTGATATTGTTCCCTTCCTCCCTGCCCCCCCCCAAAAGTGATCTTTGCGCTTGCCGCCTTGGTGGCCGTCAATGCCCAGACTTCCCAGTCGTGCTCGAGGGTCCCGGAGTACACGGAAACGATCTCGCCCGTCGTTTGCCCACAGCCGAAGTTGAGGCTGCCCAACTACGAGAACGTGCAGACCTACTACCAATGCGCGGCCACCGCCAACGCCAGGGGCGAGGTGCTCTCCACTTTGACCAACTGCGCCAGCAGCACCTACTTCAGCTACGTCCTGCAGGAGTGCTACGCCTGCAACAACTACCTGCCCAGCGCCAAGTGCGACAGTCTGCCCATCAACGCCACCTGTGTGTCGATGGAAGCCGCCGTCAGCACCACCGTCGCCCCCACCACCACTGTTGCCCCCACGACCACTGCTGCCCCCCAGTCACCACCACCGCCGCGGCCCCAACCACCGCCCTGCCACCTGGCGATACCACCGTGTCTGTTCCAACGCCACCCACTGACGACCCCAGCACCACTCCCAGCAACCCCGGTACCCCCGGCAGCGACGACACCATCACGCCGACGGGCAGCACCATTGCCGTGCCCCAGCCCCCCTCCCCCAGCGACGACAATGTGCCCACCCCACAGACGCCCGTGCCCACTGCCCCGGTCATCAACAACGGACCCCCGACGTCGACCTCGGCCCCATCCGTCAAATAAGCTCGAGACGATCGCCTCCAAATCCCTGCATTTTCGGCTGAATAAAGTGTTGCCACACTTCACACACGAAGCATAAATTATTTATAAATTTAAACAGCCCAGAAATAGCTTAAAATACAAAAAACTTGATTGTATACTTTCAACACACTTGGATAAGTCATTTAAAACTGTTGTGGGACACTAAAGAATTTATTTGGTTTTATTTAAATAATAGTTTTTAACACAAAATAAAATATATAATTAAATTCGAGTATCAATAGTGGTTGTCTTGTTAGATAATATCAATTCATATTTTACTTTTGATCCCTGAAGTAAGCAATATTTTCTCATAACTAGGGTAAATCAGTAATTGAGTTCTTTAAAATCTTTCCCCTAAAAGAATTTTTAAGCAACCTTTAAATTTTAATATATTTTGATATGTTCATATTTAAACTAACTTAAAAAGGGAAACAAAAAATTGAGCATACAATATTTGGCTTTACCACGTTGCTTTAACCAGTAAAGGTAAATGTGTTATTTATTCTCTTAAAATGTAATAGGCCTATAAAAAAATTGTAAAACATTTAGGAATCTTTAAAAAGCAAAAAATATTAGAATTTTATTAAACAAAAAACTATATCTTTATTTTTGGACTTCTTCTGTAATCAACAAGAAACTTTCAGTATTCTAGCAACTTTAAAATGATAACAAATAAATGACTTAGAGATCTCAATTGAATGCTCACCCAGTTATCCTCTGCTTCACGCTTGTCCAGCAGATACTGATGCAGCCGCTGGCCGATTCCCTGGGGAGCTGTGAACTGCCTGATCAGCTCCTTGGTCCGCTCCAGCTGCGCCGGCGTGGTGATCGGCTCCAAAGCGCGAATGTAGTCGGCCATCGTTTCATCCAGCGCCGGGACGGGCACCTTGGGTAGAGTCTGCGAACGAAAAGGGTTCTCGAAGGGCTTAGCAAATTTAATTTTATTTCACTTCCACTCATCTTAGACACTTTTCCCCATTTTCTACCATTTTCCTCATTTGTATGCATGGCAATATTGAGCGTCAAATGGAAAGTTTCCTTACCCTGCCGGCAGCAATACAAAAAGTTGATGCCCTGGGGAGCCGAATTTCAAATCACAAAAAAAAGGAAAAGAAATGGCATGGCTTGAATCTGACATTGTACTCCGACTCCTTGACATTTTTTTGCCATTCCTTCCTGCTATCCACCCTTGTTTGGCGAACTTTAATTGAGAGATTTTCCCCAAGAATTCCCCAGTGGAGTGTCGCTGGTCTGAAGACCCATCGATTTCAGGATGGTCAACGCATATTCTGTAGCTCATTATGATGATGCAAAAAAAAATGTATGTTGAAAAAAATCCATCGACTTTGTGTTTGGTTGTACCAGCTGAAGAAAACACAATTTTCCACTTAAAAATATACAGTCGAAACGTTAAAAGTGTCAACATGTCGTTGACTTGCGGATCCTGTTCTCCGTTTTCAAAGCAACCGAAACTTTTGTTATACCCAATATGCAGCCTCGTGTAACTTGGCTTTGTCAGTGGATCCCCTTTTCTGCTGCTGGCTTACAATTTTGATGTCTAACTCTGCTTTTCGGGGGTTGTTGCTGTGGCTGCTGTGCTTTTTTTTTCAGGTGAGCATGGACTGAGGGCGGAAAAAGGTTCAGGGGGGTAGGTTGGTTTTTCCGGTTTGTTTGCACGAGCTGCGGCAGGTCGGTTGCCAGGAGTTCCTGTTGCCATACAAAAGCCCTCGTTATTTGCATTTGTAATTATAACAAACAGGATTAGTCCGTCTGCCTGTGTGCGCGAGTGTTTGTCTTTGAATTATTCAAGTAGCAGTCGAGCTCAGCCCGGGGGCAAATATTTGCTGGAAAAGGTGGAAGGAAATGCGAAATGGTTTAATCAATTTTACTCACGTCAGGGAATCCGAATTCATCCACGGACTCGGCCGTGGAGAGCCATTTCTTCGGTATCGACAGAATCGAGTCTTTCCATCCTGGAAGAACAAAGAAAACAAGCGCGGTGCGACAATCGCTGATTAACCACTTGTTGAACACCGAATTAAATTGTTGAGTAATTTGCCGCAATCGTTAGACCGCTGCTAGAGAACTAGTTAATCACTGTCACCAGCCTCAAGAGCGGCGGTATCCGAAAATGCACCTTATCGATTGACTGACAGTCCGCAAAAGAACAAGATGTATGGTCTATGCGTCACCCAGAATTCCGCGTAGTTGACGTTAATTTTTGGGTCTCACCCAACCCTTGATTTGATTTGTCTTATCTGCAGTTGAAATTCTATAGTTCGAGTGCTTATTCCCGTGGTGACCCACAGCCATTTGTCCTCCCACATCGACGCTCATAAGAGGCGGACGAATTCGTGCAAGTTTGCCATTTATTGTCTTGGCCAGGCTTCCGCCAGTAGAATGCAATAAAATTGGCCAGAGGAAACTGAAAACTCTCGGGCTTCATTTCCTTTCGGCTGTCCGTCTTTGGGCTCCTCCTCACATACACATAAAAACTTTAGCTGTCATTGCTGTAATTCAACTGTATAAGCACTTCCGGTTGCCATTGCGCTCGAGTAGCTCGAATTTCCGGCTTTAGTTCACATGGGCCGCCGGGCCTTTGAAATGTTATTGTCAAGCATTTAGAGACAAGTTTACAACTCGAAATCTTTATTTATCGGCGAGTAACAAAAGAAAATAATAGATAAAAAGGGGGTTGGATAAATACAATTTCAACGTGTACACCTTCTTAACCTAACAAAGTGTTGTCCTATGGTTTAAGTAAAATAAATAAAAACCATATAAATAAAAGTATAACTAGAATAAAGAAAAAAACTTATTTACCCTTTATTCTGTATTATTTTTTAATTGGAATTCTCATAAATATGGTACTCATTAAATTTAAACGTTACATTTTAGAAATGCGAATTGTTGTGTGTTGAAGAGTCTATATTGCTTTAAAATTTGTATTTTATTATTGATTTTAAATGAAGAATAATATAAACGAATAAGGCATTTGTAATAAAAAGTGACATTTTTATAAATAACTAACCGACTGCTGAAAAAGGATTAAACATTGTATGTAGTTAAATATTCCTATTTCAGAGAAAGCAGATGAAAATATAAAAATATAATAATATAAAAATTAATATAAAAATTACATTTTATAAAAACGAGCCAATAAATAATAACAAAGTAAATTTGACAAAGACTCTTATCTAAATTGCCGACCACTTAAAGTGAAGTACATATAGAAGGCACTTCAGGGTCAAAGCATTGACCGCTTTGAAGGACTAGCATTCACAATTGATAAGCGGCTTGTTTCCAGCTATATCGGCCCCATCCAACTTCAAAGGCAGGACAATCATAATGTTATTAATAAAAATGTTTTATGGCAATCGGGATGAAAGGAAAACGAGCAGCAACGGCAAACAGCCTCTACTCTACTACGCCTCGTTCCATGTCGAGTGGGGGTAGTGGCACGCGGCTGCCCCACAACGATGTCAAATTTAATGCAATTTATTATCCTTTTTTCATTATCTCGCTAAAGATGCCCCAGTCGAGCAACTAGCTGGCGGAGGTAATCACACAATGGAGTCACGTGGCGGCAATTTGAACGTCCGTTCCATTGTTGTTCCAGCAGGGGCACAACAGCAACCACAAACTGTAACCTGTCCGGAGCGACCCATCATACCCATCATGCCCATCAGCAAATTGTAATAAATTGTATTAGGAAGCGTCGTTGAGAAATTCAAATTAAGTAATTAAAGCCTTGGTTTGGGCCACTTTTGGGGTGGCTCGTGGCTCACAGGCCGGCTAATGTCTTGGGGTAACTCGCTCGCTTAATAGAGCAAATATCAATTTACAAAAAGTTGAGGGAAAGTTATTGTGCTTGTTACTTCTTCTTTGATGTATAAATATAAATTCCAATTACAAAGTTTTCTGATGTCCAGGCGTAGGAAAACACAAAATGAGCCTTCCAAATTAGTATGAATTGACTTCGAAAACGGAAAGTTTGGGCTCACAAAGAAAAAATCTTACCTTTCCGGATTATTTTCTTTATCATAACAATAATTATATACCGAAACGTTTGTGAAAACATAAATGTAAAATATATTTTTATACAATTAAAGAAAGTTAAAGTTAAAGAAATTATAAAATAAAATTGAACTAGAAAGCCCTAACACATTTTTAGTTCTCCTTGTTTTCTTAAAAATCTAGACAGATTTCAAAGTTTTATCTTTACATCAAAATCATGCAAATATGGAACATATTAAACTTCTAGAGTGAGGGCATTTTTCGACACTTTCTTTCCCGTTGACAGACAACCTTTAGAAATAATCCCTTATATTTGCAGGACTAAAAGCTAAAAATGTATCTGTCTGCGTCACCTTCAATTATATGCATTGGTAGAAACACTTTTCCAATTGATTGATTGATGGCCAGGATTTGTGATTAGAGCGACAGGCGGCTAATCAGATATTCATGCATCATTTCAAAGGCAGACACAGCGCAGTTCCTGTTCCGGTTTCGAATCAGGATACTAACCCCCAAGTAAAGCCCGTCATTCCTGCTGCTGTCTGCTTCAATTTGCTCGTATCTGTCAGTTTTTGGGCCAACTCATGATTCGATTTGGGCCGGGCCATAACTTTGCGGAATTGGATCGATGCCTCGTGATCATAATGGCTGAGTATATGGGATAATGGGGATGGGATGCGATGGGATGTGGCTGTGCCGAGGACATTTCACACATTAACGCGAAGCGTCTTGGGCTTATTGCCAACACGCCCCTACTTTAAACGCTGGCCAATAAAACGCGTCAGTTAGCGTAAACCGAGGGCTCATTATTAAGCTGCAAAAATCACGCTCGAATTCATGGCATTCCACGACTCCCCTCTCAGAAAGGACAAGGGCTGCGACAGGCAACTGCTGCCGCCTGTCAGACAATGCGATAAAAATGTAATCCCAATGAAAAATAATGTTTCTGCCGGCATGATTCCAATTTAGCAACAGTCAACCCCAAGACCGTAGCTCATTAGGACCAGTCCAAATAGCAGATGCCGGCAACCGGAGCAAATGAAGGAGAAGAATTTAAAAAGGCAAAACAAATCCGCACCCCAAGGAGGCGGGCGGGCGCGACACGTTGCGACTACATAAAACACCCGTCGAACAAGCTGGAACCCCAACCGCAGTGGAGGACTGGTACCAGCACTCGGTGGTGGAAGCTACACAGAAAGAAATACACGAAAAATAATGCCAATGTTTCATCCAAAGTCTTGGGAGAACTTGTATAACTAATAGACAAATTTTATTTAGTTTCACTTTATATCTATTATAAAATGTGAAATAAATATTACATATATATTTTTTTGGCAGAAAAATTGGATTGGATTTAAATAAATTTTTATATTCTTTATAAATGTTAACTAAATAAAGGTTGTTACTCAGAATAAGCTAAGTTCAAATTAAAGGAATGAGTTTTCAACTTAGAACGTTTTATATTGTAAAGATATTTGTATGCTATGATTGTTCCCCCAAATGCTATGATGAAACGTATATTTAAAATATATTTAAAATTTAATACGGGTCAATAATATTAAACATTTCAATTGCAAAGACTAAAGAAAATCCTATAAATGTTTGAAAGCAATATCGATTAAGATATAACTTTAAATACCCAACTTATTTATGTTTTCTGTTTTAAAAGAGATACTAAGATAGAGATTTAAAGGTCTTAAATAAATGGTTTTTTGTTTAATATTCACAATATGAAAAGCCGTAAAATTAACCCCATAGTAACTATAATATTGTCCGCTTTTTTTGAGTGTAGGAAGCTGCCGGGGGTCATAACATTGTCGGATGTCGGAACAAGCGATGAATGGCCGAGTGAATGAGTTTTCCTCCTTTTGTTCGGTTTGGCTGCTCGTAAAGGGCTTTATTCCATTCAAGGGTGGATGTGAATGGAGATGGGGATGGAGATGGGGATGAGGATGCGGATCCCGTCGCACGCACATCGCAATTGAGCCGTAAATCCTTTACGGTCTTAGCGCCGTTGTTTCACTGCGACTACGTTGCGCTTTTGTGGCCCGGCTTTATTTTCTTTTTCCGCCGCAAATGCCTAGCATACTTTTGTGCGCCAAACTCAAATTAACTGCCGCATTGAGGCATTGCAAATTCTTGTAATTGTTTGGATTGAAACAAGCGGAAAGCGTAAATTGCTTGCGCATTGTGACGGAGATTGGGATTCTGCTGACTTGGATTGCGGTTTGCTTTGCGGCCAAGCAGTCAGAAAGTTCGACCGATACACACATATACATACAAGCACGTCCTGGAAGTGGTTCACCTTTCGGTTGTGGCTGAATCTGTTTCTGGTCCTTGGCCCGAGGCATCCTCATCCTCGTCCTCCCCCGAAAAAATGGAAGAAGGAAACTTTTTGCCCAGACTCCGGCTGGCTGTTCGTGACTCAGGCCAAAGTTGCTAATGGAAATTGCAAACATAAAATCATTTTCCACACAAATTTTTTGGCCCCAGGGCACGCACACAACTCCCATTCTCCCCAAGTTGGTTGGTTTTGGGTTGGAAAGCATTCTAACCCCTCCTCCAAGCTGGGAGATTGATCTAAAAGTTTCCGGCACGAAATCAGGTGTACAGTGCACACACAATGTGACTCGATTTTGAACAGACTCGAAGGTCCTTTGTAGGCCACATTAGCTAATTAATTGCATTAATCGTTAATAGATCGGATGAGCTGCCAATTTCCATTAAAAGACTATTTTTCCATGGTTAACAATTATATTTCAATAGTACATGTTTGTTTTGTGTTGTTTGTTTCTGTTGGGTGTGTTGTGTGGGTGTGTACGGGTGTGTATGGGTGTGTCGCTCTGTAATAATGCATTATCTTTCCACTATAGCTCATGCCAATATCTGTATGCTTTAATGTACGTTCGGTTATACTTTCTGCTCGTTCAATTCATTATTTATAACATTTCCCCATAGCCAGAAGCAGGCGACTGCCATTTTGAATTCTCTTTCGATGCAGTCCAAATGCGTTTATAGATTCATAGACCAGTGTGTGAGTTTTCTATTTGTATTTTAGCCTTGAATAATTCCAGAATATTTCAAACCAGAAGCAAATGTCAGTGCCAGCAAAATTGCTAGTTTGTTTTAGCGCTTTGTTCTGCTGACTTATGCCATGAGTTTCCTGGAAAACTCCCACACATCGAATCGAACTTCAAGGGTGCTTGTTCTTAGGGGCAGTTCCTGTTTGTTTTTATATCCCTATTGCTTACATTTGATTATAAAGGAGAGTTTTTGGCTTGCCTTGAAAATATGCTCAAGCTAGAATCGAACATCGATTTGCTTCGTTTTGATATGCATAGCACTTAGTTTGGTTAGTTTTTTTTTTGGGGATAGTTGAACGGTGTGATATTCAGATACAAACATAATTACGTATAGAATATAGATGGATAGACTTGGAAATCGAACAGCAACGTTACAGAACTGGGATTTGGATACTTGGTAAAATTTTAGTTTCGCTTCTGATTTTGCTTTTTCTTACTGCTTATCTGTTATAATAATTTCCACTGTTTATCGTAATAATTATTGTTAAATATGTAACACAAACGTCTATAACATTAGCCGAAACAAGATGCAAAGACTTTCTTAATAATTTAGCTCTGTACTATATTAGTATGTACTTGAAACGCTTCCACTTTGACATTGACTCTGACCAAAAAAGACATTCGAAATTCGAAACTAACAATATGCCTTATATACAATACAAAACTGAACTGTGGTGGCATTAACTTTGTGGGCTTCACTTACAAACTCATTTTATTTTGTCTAGGGTATACAATTAAATTTTCTAAAACGTTCTTCACACGCACAACACATAGAAACTGTCGGAGAGGCAATTCTCATATGAAAAAATATCAAATTTTTTTCTGTGCTACTGGTTTGTTGCCAAGTTAAAATCCCTATATCATATAGTAAATATTCGATATTAAAAATTAATTTGTTCATTAAATTTCCATAGCGCACAGTTATTGCGTATAATTCATAATTCATATAATGCTATTGAACATTCAACACTTGTAATACGCAGAGTATAACCATTCAATTAACTGCTATCGTGTTTTGTAATTCATTTTATAATTGTATATTTATATAGTTTATCATACATCTTTTCTTATATTTTCATATTTATATGTTTTGCTGTAACACACTGAGTTTATGCGTTCCATTTGCTCTTATTTGTTTAGTAAGTTATTACACATTGCCGGCACTGCTACACATTCTTCAGGCTACTCTCTATTGACCTTCTGGGACAACGTCCCTCGACTACATTATGTGATGGTTATAACTAGGCTGTATATTCATATATTTATATTTGTAAACCAAAATTGGAAGATTCATATACATGTTGCGCTCTACCAAACTTTGGTTAAATCTGTTCAAATCTATTGAAATCTTGAATGCTTGAAATCGTAATGTTTTATTTATTTGACATCTATCTACAACCAGCCTATAAAGCCATGTAAAGATTTATTTATTTTAGGAAAGAGAACCAATTGTATTTCATTTGTAAAAATATAAGAAGGGAATTTTTAAGAAATTTTAATTTATTACACGACTTAAAGGCTTGGCGTTGTTGTTTTTTAGATGATTGTTCCAAAGGAAACTTAAATAAATATTGCTTTTTGGAGGTTTCATTATATTTATATATGTTTGGTTATTTGTAATTAAAATTCTATTGTTAGCTACTTAAATGAACATTCTATGTATAATATGTTACATAATAATATATATGTACGTTTTTGACTATATTAATTGTTCTGGTTTCCTTCTCGTTTGCTTTTCATATATAAATATGTAGTTTGCTTCAACACTTTATCCTCCAACTCTACCTGTCCTTCGTTTTAATTGATACTTTTGATGGGAGATTTTTTCATGAGTTTAATTCATATTATAGTTAAGAGTATTTCTACAGTTTTGTAAATTTGTAGAGCTATGTATATATTTTATGTGTAAGTAAGTGTCGGTAAAACGAGGAAAACTATTGGAATATCAAAAACCAAAATACAAAAAGAATTATAATAAATTGTAAACCAAAGCAACCCAATAAAACAGACAACATTCTTGATTTGCTAGGGTTTCTACATTTAAAAGGAATGAAATTAAAACAAATCCTAAGAACATAATTTGTAACTTCTTTAAAATCAGTGCATTTCTGTTAATGTATAGCGTATATTTATGCAGACTGTGACCTAACCAATTGCTTTCGTAATTCATAAGATACTCATATTTATTCTGGCCGTTTCACTGATATGTTCACGGATATAGAAAGTCTGTGATATACTCGTAATTAACTGTAATTGCTGACTAAACGCATTCGATTCGCAAAATGTACATAACTATTCTGACATCCATATACGCTTGCTGAGTTGTATATAAAAGATCAATTTACTTATCGCTATGGTGGAGATGGGGCTCCAGCTAAAAGGTGTATAATATAGGGGCAGTAAACTGCCCTAAAAGTGGTGCAGTCGAAATGAATCAAAAATACAATAATCGCTATTCAATATGTTCCTTTAGGTTTATCTTTATCTTATAGACAAGGTACACACATTTATGCTATGCTATCGAAGATCTACTATGGCGGCAGTCCCCTGATCGGAGTCGCACACGTGCTCATAGAGTCAACAAGCAAATAATAATTGATTGGTAGGTAAATATGAAACTTGAATTCGAATCTCAAATTGATTTCTGTTTCCGTTGGTTGTATAACTTATGTACACTTCATGTACGTTTGCCTAAAAGTAGGTGTGTTTGTGTATGTTACCGATATGATACGATATAGGTATATATTTATGTATAGACTAGTAGCAATAGGTAATATCACTTTTGGTAATTTTAACAGGCGAGCCATCGAGACTCTGATATGTATCGTTACCTTGGTTGTGTCTTATGTTAAGAAAAGTTGAACTGAATATTATTTTAAACCTCAAATCATATGGCCAGGCTGGCCGGGAATCCACTCTCGACCCAAGTCCGCCACAATGACACCCGAAAGAGTTCCTCTGGTTCTGCGGGCGGGGGAGGTTTCGATTTGTGCAACTTGTGATATGTCTGCGATATGGATGCCACTGCCTGTGAAACGGCGGCACTCGGGCGAAAGTGGTCCACTGGCCAGCTCAGCCGCTTACAGCTAGCTTGTATATAGATATATATATATATATATATGCGTGTATATAATATCTGATATCTGATACATATATGCATGTGTATATTTGATATGGCGGGAGTCCGAGTTCTCGTCCTCCCCTTATCGACTACCTATGTCTAAGCTTTGGTTTCTCTAGCTTCACTGACTGATAGACACGAAAACGGCTGCATGAGTACTGAGTATAGGGCATAGGCTGTCCGATCGGACCGCTCTATATAGCTGCTATATGCTGATGCACATATACGTTGTGTCAGCAATGGGAATTAGGCATTGGCACTTTTTAGTTTACCCGGGTGTTTGAATCATGCCTAAACTGACTTTTTCGTAAATAACTGTATGCGACAAATAATAATTTAAAATTTATTTAATTTTAAAAAACTATCCAATCATACAGAGATTAAGATAATCTGATGTTGCAATGTTATTTTATTCGTATGCTTTTTTTGCAATGTCCAGGTATTTTACTTCAAATCATAAATTGTAATTTGAAAGTTTAATAATTTACTTTAAATCTTCGTTTGCCTTTTAATATTTTTTCCTGTATACCTTAAGCCTCAACTAGGATTATAATTTTCGGCTGCCCACCTAGGTAAACCGAAATAGTACCCTTCCCATCACTGCTTTTAGTGGGATGCTTCAACATTCGTGTATGATACAAGAGTTGGTGCTGTGCAAGGCATTGACTAGCTGCTGTATTAACTATCTGCTTGTTATGCTCGTTATAGTGTACGTACCACTTGCCTATATGTCTATGCTAAATATATGTATATGTGTTTTGTGTCGAGTTTATAGTGGGTTCAGTTGCTGCACACGGGGATGTACAAGAGAACACGGTTTAAGACTAGGGTTGTGTGTTTGGTTTTTTGCTTTGGGGCAACAGTTTAAAATCCTTGCCTAAAGGGATTCGCGGGTCCGGCAGGACCTCTGCTTTGAGGCTGCTGCTGCTGGAAGGGATTGGCCACGCGGGGCTGTCCCTGGGGGGCGTAGCTGCCGCCCTGCTCCTGGTAGCCGGGCTGATAGCCCTGGTCCTGCTGATAGCCACCGGATTGTTGGTAGCCCTGCTGCTGCTGCTGCTGGTACTCGTACTGCTGGTCATCGAGATTGGTCTCCTGCTCCTGCTGGTACTGCTGGCCGTACTCCAGGTGGTTCTTGACGCCGCCCTCGACAGGCTTCTGGTCGTGCATGACGTAGGTCTGGTACTCCTTGTTGGGCGGGTCCTGCATCAGAATGTTGGCCTCGTTCTCGAACGGCTTGAAGTCGTAGATGTTGCGCAGCTTGCGCAGCACGGGCACATAGGCCAAATTGGAGAAGGCAATCAAGAAGTTGAGGGCCGTAAATCCGATGGCCTCCACCACGCCGCCGGCGATGATGGGGCCCACGGCATAGGCGATCGAGTAGGAGATGTCCGCGATGGCGTAGATGCTGCCGTAGACGGACACGTAGCGCACGTCCACCAGATAGCCCAGCGTGGGCAGCAGGGCGGTGTCGATCAGGGCAATGCCGAAGCAGATCACGCAGATGGGCAGCATCAGCATTTTGTAGCCGCTACAGAAGGGGATGATGAAGCAGGAGAAGCCCTCCAGGGCCAGTCCCGTGGCGGCCATCAGCCACTGGTGCTGCGGATACTTGCGGGCCATCTTCACGGTGATGACCACGCCCAGCACGTGCGGAAAGAAGGCGGGCAGCCAGACCATGCCGATCTTCCAGTTGTCCGTGGTCATGTTGTCCTCCATCCACAGCGAGATGGTGGGTTCGAGGAAGGCCAGCGCCACATTGGACATGGTAAGGGCACCGGCGCAGACGGCTATGTAGGGGTCCATCAGCAGACGCCAGATGGGTATCACCTGGTCCTGCACCTCCTTGCGCTGCTTCAGCGCCTCCTTGACCGGCTTCATCACGAGCAGCAGCATCAGGCCGTCCAGCAGGCAGACCAGCGCCAGGATCAGGAATGGCACTTCCTTGCCGGCGAACTGGTAGAGGGCCCCGCCAAACGGAGGCGCCACCAGGCAGCCGAAGCTGATGAAGGCCAGCGCGATGCCCAGCGCCTGCGAGCGTTCGTTCTCCTCGGTGAAGCGATCGGCAATCATGGCCAGGCCGGCGGTGTCCGCGAAAGCGGAGCCGGCTCCCTGCAAGGAGCGGGCAAAGAAGAGGACACTGTAGCTGCTGCCGCAGGCGAATACCGCCGTGGAGAAGAACATGATGGTCAGGCCGATCAGCATGGGCAGGTCGTAGCCGATCTTGTCGATGAGGCCGCCCGAGAAAGGGTTCACCATCAGCTGGACAATGGCCTTCGAGGCGAACAGGACGCCCGTGGCCGAGTCCTGACCGTGGTGGTCGTGGTGCACGGGTATGATCTGCCCGGTGATGTTATCCCTCAGAGGCGGCTGCGTGGGTCCATCGTCAAAGCTGCCGATCTCGCGCAGATAGTCGGGTATGATGGGCACTATCACCATGTAGAGCATGTTGTCCAGCAGCAGGGCTATCGACACGATCACGAGGATGAGGCGACGCTGGTTGACCGGCTCCTGGATCTTCTCCCACACGATGTCCTTGAGCTCGCGCAGCTCGAGGTTGATAACAGGTATCTGGAATGAGGCCATTTTGGTTGCACCTAAATTAATCGCTGAGGTGTACGAAGTTCTGCGACCGTTTTCTTCTCGATTTCCTCTCGTCCCGTCTCGTGTTTGTACTACTCTTTAAAGCTTTTATGCTCCGATCTGGTATGCCGTCATGATTACAGCCGGAAATGGCTTGGCGCTCGCTACAAATATGGCCGCTTCCGTTTCCGTTTCCGTTTCCGCTGCGCTAATTGCCTTCTTAGCTTTCTTTGCTCGCTTTGAGGTGGTTTATCGTTGCTTGTGGTTAACTGTGGTGTTTGCTGCTGCCTTTCTTGTTGTTGTTACAGTTGCTGTTGTTGCTGTGTGGTTTTACATGTTTTGGTGTAGTTGTTGTTGCTGTTGTTGGAGGTGTACGAGTTGTTGGAATGCCAGTGAACAACCTTTAACGACACAGAAACAAGATTTCGTTAGTCTTTTCTTTATTTACTTTCGGTTCTTTTTTTGATTGTCTCGCTAATGCGATTAAAGTTATTATTTTATTAGCTCTCTCTCTCTCTCTCTCGCACCTTCTCTCTCCCATTCTCTCTTTCTCATTCACTCTTAACTAGGATTAGTTGGTTAGTTGGGTTTATTTTATGATTGAAATGTTGTTTCTGTGTTGCAAAAGGCTGCCTGCTGGTGAACAGAAGTTGTATTGTATTAGGATTAGTTCGTGGCATTCGCATTGGTTCGATTACATGGGACAAGGGATATATCTTTCTTTATGTTTCTTTTTTTTACACTTTCGAGGGACACACATTTCAATCATAAAACAAATACCGAAAAAGTACGTGTACATTCTACAATTAAGTCATCGAATATTTGTTGGTCCAGGGTGATTATAAGGGTGTAGCAATTATTTTAATTGGATTTGTGGGCTTAAGTCTGTGGACACCCCTTAAAAAGTAAGTGAAGCGGAGTGTCCTTGAAGCCACGCCGTTGCACTCATCGAAGCTGTAATTATAATGATTGCTTTGGCTAAGCAAAAAATGTCCCACTCAACTTGCAGGCAATCAAAAAGGTTTTAAACGAAGAGAGTGTAAGTCCAACGACGCACGGTACAGCTAAGAAAATTTGTCGGTATTTATTTTTTACACTGGACTTTGCTGATTTAAAAAAAATTTTTCAAACATTAACCTTTAAGATAAGTATTTTATAAAAAAAACATATAATTTTTCCGAACTTTAAAGAGGGTGTTTTATAAAGTAATATTTACTTGAACAGTAGTTAACCCATAGGTTTTGTACCATAGTTCACTACGGAATCGTTGTGTTAGAACTTCCTATAGCAAATATCGTTGCTGCGCCAGCTATCAATGCTGATCTAATTTCAACATTTATCTACCTTGTAGCACTCGACGAGCAGCCACCCCCGTTTGAATAAACATGAAAATGGGACGTGTGCAGGGTATAAATATGACCCCCTCCACACTTTTTGCTACTACACCATTGCCACCTCCAACCCTGCCCCCAAATTCAGAGCTGCCCCTTATGAGGTTTTTGGTGTGTACGCGACGTAACAAAAACATTTCGTTTTATCATTAAATTTTCATGACCACGTCCGTGTATCTGCCCCAAGCCCAAACCTACCCGACAACCTTGGGCTCTGCTCTGATCGAGGGCTGCACTCACCCACCCACTTTCACATGGTTGTATGTATATATAAATATATGTATGGTAACAGCCCCCGGGCTGCCCATGAGTCAATTATGTTTTGCGACAGAGTGGGGCCTTTGCTTTTATTTTTCCATCCAGCGACTTTAATTTTTGAGTTTTCTCAATGCATGAGTACTTTCCCCTAACAACAAAACCAGGAGGAGGCCCATGTCTGGTGGGTCAGGTGGGTGGCCGTACTTGACCCTGGGTGTGGGGGTGGGGGTGGTGGTGCGGCGATGGTTGGCAGGCTTTTATCAGCACCAGGGGTTGTTCGACGGGTCGACGGGCCGCCTGCAGCTGCTCAAGTCAAGTGCAGAAACGTGTGCCTACATGTTGATTATAACAGGGCCCACACTAGTCGGACCATTCAATGTATCTCACGAACATTTAAGGATATTGTATTTTTTTAACCTGGTTATCTTAAAGAGTTCCTTAATTTATATTTTTCTGTTATTTATCCTTTATTTCTATAACAAATAAATACTCTTATATTATTTTAAGTTCACGCCAATTTTCAAAATCATATTTCATAATAAACATCGGATTTCTTATTTTAAAAATGGTTATTAATTAACAATTAACTTAAAAACACTTATTTTTCGAGCTAAAAACACTAAATTCATATCTTTCTTTCTATAAAAATAGATTTTATAAAACAGTTAAATAGTTTTTTAATAACCATAGGACTTTTTGACCTTTATAGTTAAGTAAACCTAACATCTCGAGGTAGAGGCACTAGATATATATATTTTTAAAAGTTGGATTTTCTTTCGTCAAAAAACAAATCAAATAACATTTAACAAAGTTCAAAAAGAAAGCTTTTCTTTCCAATGAATACCCTTGAAAGGACGTTAAAACTTTGCTGCTTTAATATAAATACAAAATATATTTACAAAGAAGTTTTATTGTGTTTAGTTGACTGATTTTACTTTCATTTTAATACCCTTGGGAATGGAAAGACACACCTACTTATGCTTTATGCATATATGCTTATAAATGAGCTAGCAATTTGTATTTACGCTTTTATAATTTTATTGATTTTTCCGCCCTGTCTGGCAAAGCTCCGTGGACAGCTGACGGATTTCCCAGGCAATGCATAAACATTTATACAAAATTCGGTTTTGGCTTGGCTCGGTTTGGCTCTGAGTTTCAGTTGCGTTTCGCCCGGCCCTTTGTTCATCCTCCCGCTGGGTTTCCTTTTCATGTTTTTTGGGGTCGAGTGCCAACTTCCGACTGGCTCAATTAGCAGGCCAAGCGTTCATATTTTATGCAGCCTCCGCCGCAGTAAATTATGACAGCCCATGTGTTTGCCTGGGTTCGGCCAAAAGGAAGCAAAATGTAGTTTCTACTTTGTGTCTCATTAATAATGCGCTACCTGTGGGGCATCAGCTGCTGCCTGCTGCTGGCCTGAAATATTCAGAAGGCTTTAAGACGAACGGCCCAGTCATCTAGGCAAAACAAAATGTAATCTCCTGTCAGACGGGACAACAAAGAGCGAAATGTGATTCTGGGCCGGCAATTGAAGGAGTGCTCTTCGCAGCCAAGCTTAAAGCCCCTTCAATGGCAGGATGATCGCCGACTTTTGCCACCCGCCGTAACCCTGGGAACATCCGCAGCCCACTCCTGTCAGCCTGCTCCAGTCGTTGTTCACAAACAGCAAAGGATGTGTTTGCCTTGCGAGAAAGGGGAATGAAATTACATTCGCTTTTTTAGTCCAAGCCGGAGCTTCGAAACTGGGTGTGCCTGCGTCTGTCTGACGAGGTAATCAGCGTAAAATACAATTTCATTCCGCCTCCTCTGAAGGGTAAGACATAAAAAACACACTGTATCGGATGGGGGCTGTTTGAATTTGCAATGAGATGGCAACCGAAACGAACTAGTAACCGTGAGCTTTGGCGCTTTGCCATTGCCCCGGCAACAAAGCAATTGCATTAAAATTAATAATCTAAAATATATTTATTTCATTTCTGTTTTTGCCCATTTCAGAGGCGGGCTTCGGGGTGCAGACTTAAATAAACAGCAAATAAAATATATCATAATATTTATGGTAAGCCGCATATTCGCACCCAGCCACTTGACAAAAGGCAGCGGAAAATCCTCACAAGTGTTTCGGAGTTACCACCCCGCCGAAATGGAAAAACGGCGCTTGTAAAACTCCCCGCAAGTGGTGTAAGCTGCTTTGTTCAAGTGGTTGGCAAGGGTTGAAGATTCGTTTTGGTGTTATACTGTAGTCTTTATGCCCCCTGCCGTTAGTCGATGTGCTCGGTGAGGCGTTCGACAAGTTCCCGATGCCACATCTGAGCAATTGGCTCTAATGAACTGTGGCCAGCTAATGAGCCTCACCTTGGCCACTCTTGATCGATTAACTTGGCGCCGTTGCCTACGCTACCTTAACCCTCTTCCGACTGCCAAGTCTTTTCACGTTGACGTTTCTGTTTCAAGTTTAATTGTCTTGTCGCTGTCTTGTGTGCAATCGATTTTACCGGGCTTGGCTTAGCCTCTGGAACACTTTTTAATTGCCAAAGTTTTGCGCAGAATTCCTCTGTCACTTTCAGCTGGGGTTCCTTTAGCTCTTAGTCGAAATGTGTTCGCAACCCTCTTAGCTTTTGTTTTTTTATTGCTCATATTGTTGCTTGGCTGCTGTGCTTTTATCAACTCCCAGTGGACCCGCAGCCATTTAGCCTTAGGATCCGTTTCAAACTCTAGTAAAAATATAAAAGGAGCACGCAAAAGGCAGCGATGAGGCGCCATTTTGGTGGCACTGATGGTACCACGGGGCGTATGAGCAGCCCCTTTAGTGGGGCTGCCTATAAATCAAAACATTAAATGGGCGTGGCCGACGGGGGGGAGTTGCCGCTGAGGGGGCGTGAGTGCCAAATGGTTTCCTCTTTCCCCGTTCTTGTGTGGGTGTGCGTGTCTAATGTCCGTGTTTTCGCACACATGTGCCGTTTCCATCGAACATCCCTGTTTTGGTCATCTGGTGAGCATTGGATTACAAATTGATTTGCACATAAATTACTTGGACTTGCTACTCCTATTGCCTTTTTTTCCTGAGAGAAAGTAATTTACCTTTATGCCGCTCATTCAGCAGTTCATGTTTCACTTAGTTTTGTACACAGAGAACAAAATGTAATATTTTGTTGTACAAAAAACTTGTTTTCTCATTACAAACTAGTTTAAATAAACTTTTAAAAGCCACCTATATTACAAGCAATTTATCAATATTTAATTATAGCTATGAACTTGTCAAAACCTATTCCTGAACAGTATTAAATCTAACCAAAAACTTTAAAACATTAGGTCTTCTGCCCAACTATGAAAAAACTAGAAACCAATAAGAAATAATTTGATGTTAGGAACACAAAGTTTAATTTTTGTAGCCGCATTAAATTTGAAAGGAAAATTGTTTTCTTTATATTTTTAATATTTCCCCCTGTGTAGTTTTGATTGATAGCTGCGATAGCCAGTGTGTCCTAGCAAATTGCTAATTTCCAGCATCGAATCCTGTGCCTAAAATGTAACCATTTGTAGCTTGGCAAATGCGGAGCAATCAACAACACCATCAGCGACCGGTTTACGACTTTTGATGTCGCTTCAGGTCCAGGTCCTGCTACTTTCTCCCTTTTCCCCCACTTTCTCCCGCCCCTTGCCGCCTTCACCCCACCGCTCCGGATGACTCAATGCTGGCAACCCCCGAGATGTCCGGGTGCGTTCTTATCAGACAGGATCAAGACAAATGCGTTACTTGTTTCTCGTTTAGCTTATTACGAGCTACCTTCCTTCCAGCCTTTGTTTCTGGCGATTCCATCCCCTCGGGCTGCGGTAGATGGGTCTGAAGAAAAAAACAAAAATAAAAGGGGACTGGGACTCTAGTTCCACGGTGGTTTTGGTGGCAATGGTGGTGGTGGTGGTGCACCCCCTTTTGTTTTGACATGAAACCGCTATGAACACATCAGCGCTACAAACGCGTCTACAAGGCAAACAATCTAATGACGACGGCGTCGTCTTGTTTGTGTTTGTGTGTGAAATTTATATTTATTGCCTTCATTATGCAGCAGCCGCAGCACCAGAGAAAATTGCTTCGCTCTGGCAGGTGGCTTGGTATGGTGGCGTTTGCTATGTGCCATGGCTTTGATGAACTTCCGACCAGAAAATGACTAGACCATCTCCACATTTCACCAAGACGGGTCTTGTAATGATTTAATGGGACAGCAGACACAAATTTGATTAGTCGGAGCAATCTAATAAAGGCATTTGTTTGGGTTTCTTGGCTAATTGATAGTCAATTGGTGACCGCAGTAATATTGACAAGCAGTGAAATTAAGCAATTAATTGCTCATGGAGATTCTTTCAGATTAAAAACATTTTTGGCCTTGATAAAATGAGCTTTTCAATATATAATATAATTAATGTTGTTACTATTGCAAAACACTCTTTTTTAATAAATTCTTTTAAAACAAAATAAACGTATTTAAATTTTTGAAAGCTTATAACTTTTAGTTTTTTAATTAAAAGTTTTGTTTCATGAAAAATATAGTATCCAAACTGTGAACACTACAGGTTTTGTGACTCCAATTGTTCCGAACCGAGTTGTTGCCTAAAAAAGTTCGAGTTAAAAAAGTTGACCAGTTTAACTTTAACTAATTTTAATTTAATCATTTTTGAAAAAAGTTAACAGACAAAAAGTAGATCATTTTTAGTTTGTGTGGTTTTATTTTAATTTAACAAAACAATTAACAATTTACAAAACTTTTTTATTTAAATGTTAATTTGAGAAATAAAACTGTTATAATTATTCAAATTATGACCCTTGTATGTTGAATATTTTTAAGAGTGAGATTAAATGTATAGAAAATATATACTTATTAAAATATTTGAAAAAAAGTGAAAGCTAACATAAAACCCCTAATTTAAAAACGTTTAAAACCGATACGAAAACGCTCAGTATATTGTGAGATTTGACAAAAATAAAGTAAATGTCAGGTTATATCAAAAACATATTATACAAATTGTATTTTTTTTAATCGGCACAGTAAAAGAATTCGATTTTTTTGTATCGTACTTTCTACTTTATGAAGTATCAAATCTTTCCTCACAAAAATCCACTTGGGTGGCCTGTGAATTACATAAGAAGCGCTCAGCTTTTGAGCTCGGGCGGTAGGCGGTCGAACGGTAACTGTTCCATTCCACTTCGTTCCGCATTCGTGAACGGAGGCCCATTGAGTGAAATGAAACCTACGAACCTACGAGTTTGGTTTGGCTTGGTTCTTTTTTTGGGGCCATAAATAAAATGTGTCTACCCTGTGAAATGTGGCAAGTGTCGAGCTCACCAGCACACACCATGCTTACAAATATATATATATAAATATACATATGTATATGTATATATGGAAGGTGTACTTGTGTGGCAAAGGACAACGCTTGATGAGCGGGAGGCCTTTGAGGACGAGGACGAACCACTTGCCACGGGGCCCTGTGCTCTAGTGTTTGCGGGCTAGATGTTGTTTAATTTTAATTATAAGCCTTGCTAACGTTATGCAAGCACTTGGTGCAGTGTACAGGTGGACAGGTGGACTGGTGGACACTGTGCCTCCTCCTTACTCACCTGTGTCGCTCGGTGTGATGTTGCTGAGGCGATGGGTGAGGAAGCCGCGCAGATTGGAGACGACGCGCTGCGGCGAGTTGGGCCCGCTGCCAATGGAGAAGCTACGCAATTTCGAGAACAGGGCGGCGGATTCCGCGCCACTGCCCGCGGCGCTGGTGCTGGCCTCGTTGGACGCCACGTTCGCTCCGGATGCGGGTCCTTTGGATTTGCTCCTGCTCCTGCCTCTGCTCCTGGTCCGCTCCTGATGACCACAGAGAAAACCACGTGCGCGGACACCAACCGAACCTTTACTTTTCCTCTTGTGTTATGTAAAGGCTCGCGCGCCAATCGATCGCCAAAACGCTCACACCGACACACACACACACACCGACACCGACACTCTACCCGTTACTACCGCTCGAGCTCAACCGCTGCGATGCCGTACGCTTGGATTCTGCTACAACTGCTCCCTGGCTGAGGTCCACCAAAAAGAATTTCGGCTCTGGAGCTCTGCTCCGGGGAGTTTTTATTTTATTTTTTTATTTTATTTATTTATTTTTTTTTGGTTTCCAGGCGACGGACGGCGAGACTACGGCGAAACAGCAGCAGCGTGCGTTCAGGCGTCCGGGCAGGAGCAAAGGTAACTTCTGTCTGGCGACTGGGTTCTGAGCTGAAAAGCGCAGAGCAGCAGCAGCAGTAGCTACTGCACGGGTCGTTCGTCGTTTTGTCGGTATTCAGCCTGGAAGGCCGAGCTCCCCACCTTGCGCCTTCCACGGCGCAGGACACCTGCGCATGCGCCTGCGCCCCCGCCGAACATCCGGCCAATTGGCGGGCCATCCTGCCTGCTCCCGCTGCGACCTTATCCTGCCTCCTCTCCCACCGCCCCCTTTTTTTCCCAGGCCCATTACTCTCGCCCAGTTGAGCACATTTGAATAAAATTCTATTCGCACTGTGCGAAGAAAATCAATTTCCTTCGGCCACTCTCACCTGTCGGTTTGGCATTTTTCCCCGCTTTGTCATTGCGTGCTTTTTGCGTTTGCCATTTTCGTAGCACACATTTCGGGGCTTATGTAAGGGGCAGCTGCTCTGAGGATTTATTTGCTGAGAAATAAAAGCACACACTTTACAACAACAGATTTTTGTTTCTTTTTTTTTTTTTTTTTTGGTTTGGTTCATGTAAGAAGTGCTGTAATTATTTCGCAACAACAAAACTCCCTAGCCAACAATTGGGCAATATTTTTCGTTAATTTCTAGAATTGCCCGAACAATAAACAGTCATTTCTTTCAAGTGGGCCAGACAATAAGAGTCTGGCAAACAGCTTGGACACTGATTAATATCTGGTGTGAAGGCAGGACTGCAATGCAGGGTCCACAATCTCTGACACCCATGTACCAGCTTTTGTTGAATTCTTCGACCCCCAATGTCACACAATTTGCCAATTTCTTTGTCATTTATCACTTGACAAGCACTTTCTGCAATTTATCAAGTCTTAGCTTGGGCTCAAAAGGCCACAAAATTATGTTAAGACCATAAAACCGAGACCCGAACATGGCATAAGAAATTTAATGGCCAACTTTTCTTCTACATTCTCACCTTTTGTCTCAACTCTTTTTTGCTCTGTCACTGACGTTACATTTCTTATGCAAAAAGTTCTGGGGGAAAAAAACTTGGAAATTTATTCACCGCTTTGCAAGTCTCTCTGGGTGATTAGGGCAGAAGTTTTGCAGCGAGTTTTCCTTTTTAATTTACAGGAAAAGCGCTGGCAACTGACCCACTGCATTGAGATGAGGGCCAACGATATTCCGCTAGTTGGCTGATTACATTTCCATTTACATTTAACAACGCAAATGAAAACAGGCAGCTGAACTGAAAGTCATGTCAAGGTTAGACTACTTTTATTGATCGATTATCGGGCTTGGGTTCATGAATGGCACGACTCTGCTCCGCTTTTTTCCGTACACAAAGTTACGTTTTGCATTTAAAGTTTACTTTACCAAGTCCCCAATCAGAAGTCAATAACCTTCAAAATCCAGCCACGTAAAAGCAATTATGAGTGCAAATTTTTGGTGTGCTGAAACTATTTTCGCATCTTTCCTTATTCGGTTTATTTACAAAGCTGAGTGAGAAACTTTTAATGCAGCGATCGATATGAGCCCAAGGAGCTCGGAAAATGCCGAGCAGGAGGCGTCTTCTCAAAGGTAAATCAAGGTGTGCCTCGTTTGCCCGTGTGCGTGTCGTTCTGCTGGTGATGTGTGGGTGTTTTGATGTGTGGGTGTGGTTGTGCCTGCTGCGGATGTTAGCGCGGTGGTTTAAATATAACAACACTTTGTGCGGGGGCCAAATTATATGGCACAACCGTCCGCCGAATGGACGAGTCGGGCCAACGTACTGTGGCCCACCTAAAAGTGGTTGGAAACAAGGTTACCTGGTACGCACCATGCGGCCAAAACAAAGAAAAATGTCTGCGAGGCACGCAAGGCAAGCGGAACCCAAGAAAAAGAAAACGAGCCTCGTCAGGCGCCCACAATAGACCACACCGTGGCATGGTGGCGTACACAAAACACAGCAGCGAAAATATATGAACTTAAGCTGGCACATACAGTCCAACTTCTTTAGCTCAAACACTAAAATTACATTCCACATTTACTTAAGGAGAAGCAAAATGGCTTACCATTATATCTTGAGTGTTTACTGCAAAGCAAAAAAAGAATATCTTAATGTTTCAACACATAAATCAAACTTAATTTGCTGAACAAAGCATTTTTAAGTTTCGTTGTTAATAGTTCTTAAAGAAGCTTAACTGTAGAGCGAGTTTTTATCCGACGTCGATTTGCGCAGCAGTTAAGCTTAATACAAATTTAATTTACAGCTAATTGTTTGACCCGAGAGATGTGCCATCATTTGTCATTTTGCGAAATGGAGCCGCCTAAGCGATTAATTAATTCTCCGCCGGCAAAGTGGAGCAAACAATTGAAATTCGACACCGGAAGGTGACTGAAAGTCAGCGGAAGGTTTCCAGTGCCAGGACTCTCCAGGCTCGAGGCAATAAAAAAATGAGAATAAAATGAACTTCAAAGCGGGATAACGAGCCCAGCTAACAAACCAGACTGCAGCATATATAATTGCGTACCTTAATGTTTATTTTCAATTAGGACTTCAGTCATGCCAGCACGAGTACAGTAATGCCGGGGGTTCGGCGGTGTTGTACGCCTTTTGGCAATTAGATGACGGTTGAGTCTGGCATCTGCTTGGATGTAGGCGAGCCGTAAAACAGACACCACAACCACTCTGCAAACCACCACCAAAACCAGCCGTAAGAAAAAACAGAAAAACAGAAAAAATAGAAACAAACACAAACAACACTTATAAAATATCACGCTGCGCCTTTGGTTCTGGGTTTGCCCAAGGTGAACCCCACCCACCACCTCACACCACACCACACCACACCATACCACACCCACCCTGCTGGCTCGCTACATACTATCGATTTTTATACCTTGCAAATACGTGTGGGTATTTTTGAATATCTTCAACCACGCAAAGGTGGAGCAGTTTGCTGGTAACAAGAACTTACGCTAAATGGTTTAAATCCTGCACTGGCTTAATTGGATTGCTCCGACCGCAGGACCGTTTTTGGCATGTCCTGCCAGGCGGAAAACCCCGTTTCAATCCATCCTGACCGCCCACCGAAGGAGGTTTAAAATATATTTCCCTTAAAATATTTTCACTGCCTGCGCCAGCCAGCCAGCCAGTCAGCTTGATGGCTTCATAGTGCCGCTGATCCTTTCTGTGCGATATTGACAGCCAGATAGACAGCAGGATACCTGCCAGTTGGGTTCTAGCTGCTGGCTGTCAGTGGCAGTGTCTGGATTTGGTCTTTTGCAGGGGGCGGCACAAGCTTCCCCAGGGCGCAACATTTGACGGCGGTCACATCCACATCCACATCCACCGTCCCCGGAATTCAGGGGAAGAAGGGTATCCCGCTGCGCCAAAGTTCATTTCGGAGCCGAGGCGACACAGCAAGTGGCCCCCAAAGGTAAACAAGGTATGATAGACACTCAAAAATTGCTCATGACATCAGGATTTATCAGGGCTGAAGGTGCAACAACATGAAATGTCATGCCATTCTGCAGTGCAACATAAGTTAACGTAAATTGTAAGCGATTGGATTGTTATTTGCGCAGGAAATCTGCTGATTCGAGTTAAAGAGGATGGTGTCATTATTTTTGACAGGTTATATTTGTAACTAAAAGTAAATAGCTTTTGTAGCAAGTTTAATAAATAAATACGGGTTAAAAAGGCCCTCGCAGCCCTGAATATCGAAAAAGCCAACTTATGGGACGAAAAGTGGGTAAACAAAGTTGAATTTGTTCCAAGGATCTAATTGACAGCAAGATATGTCCCACAGGATAGCCCACGTTTAACTGAACTTTGATTGATAGTTGTGAGCTCAAAGATTAATGAATATATTCTAGGTTATTAATAGTTCAATGAATATATAGATACTTTTGACACAAAGTCGCACTAAAGATTTTTTGTCAAGGGGATTTCTTTTACTTTTATTTTAATAAATATTTAAAATAGTATACAAAATGCTTATAAGCTTTAATTAAATTGAAATTACTGTGTTACAAAATATAGTCAATACTGTTTTACAATAAAAACAAATTGAGATTTTTGTTACTTAAAATCAGACACCACATTCACGTATCCGTTTATTATCATCTTCTTTTCCCCAGTTTGAATTCTCCATGCGATTGCAGGTTGATCCAAATTGAACTGCAACCTTCATTGGAGATTCATAAAGCCAATCGAGCATAACCCCCTGAAAAAATATATATTATCACCCCGATCCATTTACATTGATTGCAAAAGCCTCTGGCATCGCTAATTGCGAGTACTTATATTTACAATTGATTGCGCTCTTTGTGCCGGAGTCGACAAGTCAGCTGACAGGGTGTGTGACGACCAAGGACGAAGGACGAAGGACCCCGGACCAAGAAGGGTAACTCGAGCCGGTGCCTCGTTAGCGTGAATGTTGCTAAGGAGGAGTATCGAGAGTTGCAAGAGGTAAAGAGTTAAGGTTGATGCTGAAGCGAGTCCGTAATTTCCCAACCGAAACGCAATTTATTCGCCGCACTCTGTGTGGGTGGACACGCTGCTCCTCAAATAAGTATTGAATTACGAGTTAATTTAACCGGACCTCGTACAGTTTTCAGATCAGGTTGAACTTTGGTAACTCGCTTGGCCCAATCTTAAATTTGCTGTAGCGAAAGGAGAACTAATTGGAAGCGTTAAGCTATTACTTTCACGGAATTTTGTCTTCATAAATATTTAACTGAAATGAACTTAATAAATCATTTCTGTCGGGGTATCCACAACAGTATCTTCCGTCTCAGTTCCAACGGAAAACCAAAAAAGTTTTTCAGCTCATTTCAAACGCTCATGAGAAAACAGAGGCTAACTAGTTTTAGGCAAACAAAAGCTCTACGGATTTCACTTCAAATCAAGTCCTTATAGATTTTTCAGTGGCTTTCTTTATTTAATAAGATAAATTGAAGTGTAAGCAAGTGGTTTTTGTCAGAGAGCTTTCACATATATATTATTTAAACATCATAAAGTTTTAAAGGATTTTCAAAAATATTTTCAAATGTGAAAATAAGCTCTTTTTCTCAAAGAACTTCTTACTTAAAAATCATTAAAGCTAATTTATATATTATGATGCTTTTAAGTTTAAACTTTATGTATTTGTATGCACAATTTTAAATCCATTATGTATATAGGTATTTATGTATGGCTCACAAAAGGAAAACTAACGTTGAAATTGCCAAACAGATTAGAAGAAAATTGCACAGAATGCATAAAATATGGTGGGCAATAAAATCTAATGGAATCTGCGCAAACTGAATAATATCAATAAAATTAAAATTAAGACGGCGCTTTGCGCAGCGAGAGGGAGATGGAGCAAGTCAGTTAGAGGGAGAGGGCAGATACCGAAAATAACGGTAAAGGAAGAAGTTAGGAAGAGGAACGGGCGCAAAGCGGAACAACAAAAGAGTCCTGAGGAATTTCCTTCTTTGCGTCTGTGTGAGTGTCACGAGTGGTGGAATTTCAAAGGAGCAAAAGCGCCATCAAAATGGCCGCCGAAAGTGTTGAAGTGTGTTAGTGAGCCAAAAGAACTAACAATGGCCGACATCAAAGTCACTTTTGAACGGGTGCAAGAGGGAGAGGGAGGGAGCGTTAGGAGTTGGCCAAAAATAAAACTAAGGCTAATCCCGAGCCCCAAGGGAACGGATAAGTGTCCAAAAATATTCGTGTGGTTTTGAAGGGCGAGTCCGCCAAAATTAATTGCAAATGTCGCGTGCTTCGTATTTTTTGTTTTGTCAACAGCAATGTCAACGGGACAAACGCTTGGTGTGCGTGTTATTATCCCTGTCCCTTGCAAATCGGTGAATGCAACTTTTGACATTTCTATGACCTTAACTAACTTACTAAGCGCGCAACAACAACGAAAACAACACTTGCAGCTAATTTGTACCCCCTATCCCCAACTATCTCTGTCTCTTTCTCCCTGGCCTGTAACCTAAATTCATATTACTGTGTTTCAGTTTCCATTTTGTGGCCCCTGTTTCACCTGCCATTTCGTTCCGTCAAAATGTATTTGCTCTCCCCAGGCCCCATTTTCCGATTGACTTTGCCATTTGCGTTTGCCTTTACTGTCATTTCATTCAAACATGGCCGCGTGGGTGTGGCCTTGTCACTCACACGAAAGCGGAATCCTCTCCCACGCACACACACACATACAAGCTAGGAGTCGACTGGATGCGGTAGGCGGAGCCGTTATTCGCTTGGTCTCCTTGACTTCCTGGCAGAATGAACCACTCTGCCTTCCAGCGGCGGGTTCCAGTGCTCCCACCAAGACACATGTGGCTTCCAGCTGTTTATCAGCTGTTCAGCTCAACTGGAACTGAGGGGAAGCGACTGTGGTGAAAGCTTTTCGATATACAAAATTTGTGCAGTTTCCGCTCAAACCTCTTCTCAGTCCTCACTTTTCAAAACTATAAAATAGTTTTTATTAATACATTTTGTTCAGTTATTCATACAAACATTTTTGTTATTATATTCTATCTTAATTGCTTGTTACTTAAATATACCTACAAATGTATTAACATTAAATACTAAGTAACAAGTAATTACTAAAGATAAATCATACGGGAAATTCAATCACTTCACTAGAGTAAAGAAACAAAAATAAAATAAATTAAAAGTTACGCTTGGGGTTACATTTTATTGTTGAAAAAAAAACTACCTATACAGACATTTTTTTATACAAGTTTTTTAAGTGCACTCAGATGAAAATGGAATGGCAAACAATGTTCTAATTATTTTTGTGGCGAACAAAGGACACACTGAAATATTGAACATGTTCGGGCTTTGCCTGGTTGTTTAAGCCCTCAATTCAATTAACAGTCTGCAGATGACAGACCTCAATCACTCAGATCCCTCGCATTCATTTCGAATGAGCAACGACATTTCGCCGGTCGTCGTTTGAAAGTGAAATAAAGTTTTAATGCATATAAATTGCTTATGCCTAAAAGAGGGCCAGACTGTGAAATATTAATGGGCACGCCACGAGGGGAGGGGAGGGGATTGGATTGCCTGAATTGCCACCCACCCAAGCAAAAAAACAGGTGAGTGGGCTGACAGGTGAAATGTAGCCGAGATGGTGTTGATATTCCTCACGCTCCAACTTCAGATTCGGTTTTGAGTTTCGCTTACAGCTCCGGCTTATTGTTCCTCTTGGATGTTCCATGCCTCAATGACGTCAGCAATGGACTTGAACCGAAATCCCGCATCAACTGAGAACTTTGACCTATGCTAAATTTGAGTCCAGAGCACTCAAATACCATTTTTCAGATCGCTTGCGGGCGGCTCTTGCAGTCATGTCACTTTGAATTTATTTGTCAGCTTGATGAAAGGTCATATGGATTCTACTACTTCAGTCAGTATTTCTAGCCACAAATACTATATATCTATCTGTCTGTCTTTCAGTGGATTTCCTTCTGTCCGCCCTCCGCTGGTAAATTCATCATTTTTGCGACATGTCAATTTGTCACTCACCTGGCCTGACAGCCCATGTATTAGATATATGGCCAGGCCGTATGCACATATGTAGTACCCTCTATGTGTTTTCTTATCAGTCAAATCAGTGGAGCCATCAATCAAAGTAGCGCTGTCTGCGGTTTTTGGCCCACCAGCTGGATTGAGATAGATTGCGATAGATAATTACCAACGACGGGCAGTGGGGAACTAAAAAGTTATGCAGCCCCCGATTAGTCAAGGTCAAAAAAGTTCATCCTTAATGCAAATTAAAATGTTTGCATAAAACTAAGGCAAGCGGAAAACTTTGTTCATATAAACTGGCACTCTGTTATGGAATATTAATATGGTTTCAAAGTGAGCAGACAAAAAATATATCCATACACGGCGATGATTTAAAACGTTCTGTCATCAAATGATTTCGTCATCAATGTGTATTTATTTAATAGCTGGAAACAAAGACATGATATTGGTTCAATGTCGAAGCTGGTTTTCATGATAAGTGTTCGCCTGATTTGCACAACTCTGCATAGAGATGCATGAAGATACTCGTAAACACATAATGCGAATAATTATAGATGTCGTTTATCGATGTAATTGCTGGATTGCTGGCCAAGTGTGACAAAGCACTCGAGATGGCGGCTGCAGCTCATCTTAACCCAGAAATGAGGTGGCATCTGATATAAACATGAGCCCACACCGAAACCCCTGCTGTATTGTATTGGCAAATGAAGCAACTAATGCCAGTGCTTTGTTTTGATGCCCCAATAGAGGTATCGCCATTACCATTGCCATTGCCATTACCTTTGTCATTGCCATTAGCAGGGGATGGCAATACGAGTGGCAATACGAATGGGAATCGAGTCTTATCTGCATGCAGATAATGGAGATTCCTCGCCTCGTCAAGGCCGCGTTGACTTTCTTCAATGGCTGGCCTGAGATCTGTGGGCAAGGTGAGTGCCGCAGCACCTCCAGACCGAATTCATTATGTGATGCCATCGATGGGCAATGGCACTTCAACGGCCGTGGGGCATCCACAACGAGCCCACGAACCGAACACTTGAGGCCAGCGGCAACGAAAACTGCGTGTTTGCATTGCGGCAATGATTTCTAACTAAATTTATTGAAGTACTTTTCACTTTTAATGCGAACGCTTGTGTTTCTCTTCGCCACGCTTCGATATTTATGACTTTTACCCAGGCAAGGCAAAAGTATGTGAGTTCCAATTTTTATGTATTTTGTTAAGCTCCAAATTGGAGCACTGGAGTTGGCTCCATTTTTTCCTCTTTGGTTATTTTGAATGATTGTCGATCGCAGACTCGTAGCACACACAATACGAGTTGATTGATTGTGGTAGCAGCACAGCGGCAACAGCTTTGATTGCCAATCGAAGGTGTTAGATAACATTACAAGCGCAACAGACACGCACTGCCTAATTATCGTTTATCAGACGTATCTCATATTCCCCCCATGACATCGTGGGCATGTGGGCCGTGAGTAGCAAAGGGCCCCTGGGAATTGTCGGCAGATGTGTGTAGCTCTGCCTTGGTTAATTAAAAGTTCTGCTTCATTGGGCTTGGGCCCTCGGGCCTCGGGCTGGGGTTCAGACTCAGGTGGACCCTCAAGTTCAGGTCCAAGGCAGCGTGATACAGTGGAAACCGGAAAACCACAACCCACAATTGTCATATTATATAATACTCTAAAGTGTAGTGACTGTCAGTTTTAGACTCTTTGACTGCGAGGGAAAATTTCAATCAGTGGTTTTGGTTTTCTTATCAGACCCCCATTAACTATTGTACAAATGCCTAAGATGTTTGTGTTATCAAATATACAAGGTATTTGATTTTAAGCTGAAATAAAATGTGTCTAGCATATGCGTCTTTTTACATAGTTCAATTTTATATTTTTAATTGCTGCACGAGCTGTATGTGCCTTGTTTCTGTAGCAACCCGTATAATATCTTTATGTGTTTATTTTCATATTTCATATTCATATTTCATATTTAATTGCTATTCGAGCTTTATGTGCCCTTATTCATATTTCAATCCTATAAATTTAAGTGCTGAAGCTCAAATAGCAATTCTTATAATTTTAATTGCTGTTCGAGCTTCAGCCGTATTGAAATATGAATAAAAAACACATAGCATATTATCTGCGTTGCTATCGAAATCATGTTAAACCAAATTTCCACTGAAATTAATGGATTTAGATTAAGAAGGAGTATTTAATACCACCCCGTTATAAGACGTTAAATTCCATATGAGTCACAATTAGAGGCGTTTGCCTGTACTTCCCAAAGTTGGGACACATAATTAATTTATTTGCACCACCATTGAACCCACCACATTGCCGCTAATCCAATCGAATCCAATCAAAAGTTGGCCGCAAATAAGAAACATAAACGGCTTGGGCGCTCTGCTGTTCTCGAGTCGAGTTGGCTGTTTATTTGGTGTAGGGCTCAACCCATTTCCACTCCTCCCAGACGACGCAGCTCTGCTCCTTCTCCATGAAGGCGTAGTTGTCCGGGCACTGGATGTAGTCGGCCTTCTCCTGCCCCTCGGGGCAGACCCAGTAGTGGGTGGGGTCGGAGATGTCGCGGAACATGCGGCCGTGATCCTCGACGATGGCGCAGTTGGGCTCGGCGTAGATGTCCTGGCCGTTGTAGGCGGAGCTGAGGGCCAGGAGCAGGCCCAACAGCAGGCAGCAGAGAAGGGTGGCTACGGAGAAAATGGCATTATGTTTAAGACATATTTTTTTGGAGGGGATCGTGTGTGATGTGCCTCACCCTTGTACATGATGAATGTGTTGCAATCGAAGGCCGCCAATTGGCATATTTATAGTAGTGCCGAATTCACCTTATCGCTCTGCACTCGGCACTCAGCACTCAGCACTTGTTGCCCCGACACTTGCTGCACAAGCAAAATCACTTAGTCCAAATGAGTTTCAATTTATTTTTAGCTCCCCGCCTGCGGATGTCGACCGTTTTGGGCAAAGGCAATCATAACGAGCCGCTTTTCAGTTGGCCGCATTAATTGGATTTGGCCCAGAGCCCGAGCGTGTCGGCTTAATCGATAATTAGCCGCTGCACTGCGTTGGCAATAGCAATTGCCACTGCCACCATCATCTTGGCCAACCTGAAAAACAAACTGAAATAATCAGTCAGCTTAACACATGCGATGCTTCATCATTATTGTCATCTCGTCTCCTGGCCAAAACCGTCACCCGCTGGGGAGTTGCGTCCTCCTCAGTTAAAGCCATGTAGCTACCTCAATGCGGAACTGTAATTACACTTTAAAGCATTTTGTAAGCGATTTTTTCAGGGTTTTTGTTTTCGACCTACTCTGGCTGCTAAACGGTTTTTAGTTTTTAGTTTTTTGGGTTTTAGGTTTTCAGCCAGCACATTTCGTGAGGTTTTTTGCCATGTTTTATTTTTGCTGCCTCTTGCTATTTATATTGGTCAAGTGGCCTGGCGCTTGAATCGCTTGCGGCGCCTGAAGCTCCGATACCAAAGCCAAACAAAGCAACAAAGAAACAAACAGTTAACATAAATGCAAAATACTTTTGCAAAATGACAAAACAAAAAAATGAACAACAAAAAAATGCCCATCGAAAAGATAGTCAGCAATTAATTAATGAATGGGCCGATAGTCTTTAATGTTGCACAATTTAAACGGATTCAGATTTCAGCATTTGTTTTATGAATTATGGAAATATACGATTATGGATTTGCCATGCCATCTGGGACTACACTTGACAAAGTGTCAATAAATTGACATGGTTATTATGTTGAATGACTGTTGACTTAATACATTTGTGTTGGTTTGTTTTAATTGGACAACCAGAAACATTATAGTTGATTTTAGAAATTAGTAAATGCCGTTTATCAATTCAATAAATTCTAACAGAGAAAATATATTAATATTTGTAGAAATATTGTATACCAATAAATTGATATTTTCCAGTTTAAAATAAAAACAAATACAGATTTTTAATGCGATTTTAAGTAATCAATCAATTCTAATAAAGAGAATATGTTAATATTGTAGAAATATTGTATAACAATAAATAAATATTTCCCAGTTTTAAATAAAAACAAATACAGATTTTTAATGCGATTTTAAGTAAATAACAATGTAAATTTAAATAGGCTTAGATTGACTTGGAGGTCATTGTATAATGTTTGCATGCTACAAGAACAATCCATTAAAAATGCAGTCGATAAGAACCTATGTCTAATATTGCATTGTATACATTATTCAATATATTTGCTATATTTAGTCTATCTTTAGTTGGGGGAGTGGGACCCCTGGAACCATATTATTTGGCAGCTTCTCCCATCCCAGCCCATCTTGATAAAGATTCTGCTCTTTGCTACTTTTCGCTCTGCTCCCATGATAATAATCAACGAATGCGCGCGTGTGTCAAAATGTCAATACTTTTATTATTCTTGTTTTCACTTCTTTTTTCGGCACTGTGCCCCCGCGCAAGTATAAAAGTTCCATCCCCGAAACGTGAAGGTCTCAGTTGGTTCCTTCTGCCGAGAAACTTTCACAGCTGAAAATGAAGTCCGGTGGGTGTGAGGTTGAATTTTAATGTGTTTTTTATATCGATTACTTATGGCTTCATCGCTTTTCCCTTTCGCCCCCCACCCAGTTGTTGCTCTGTGCGCCATCTTTCTGGCCGCTTTTCTGGTTGCGGGCGTGAGTTCCGATGCGGGTCGTTCGGCCTGCAAGGATGAGTCCGAGATTGGCCAGACCTACACGCACCACTTCGATGCCGCCAAGTACTGGCTGTGCGAAACCCTGGGCACTCCCGCCAAGGAGGTCGACTGCCCCGCGGGACTGGCCTACATGCACCTGCTGAAGGAGTGCATCCCCTGGGCCAGCTACATCTGGAAGAAGCCCGAGATGCCACCAACTGTGGCCTAAAAATAAATGACCAAACGTTGACAACTGCAACCTGATTTGTTTATTCATTGATTGTAAGGAAATTTAAGGTGCTATTGAACAACTCCTCGAAATAATGTTGGTAGTTTTTTTACGTATGGAACTGTTTGCACTAAGACGTTAATTTATGATTGTAGTTTAGGAACTTTTAAATATTTTGCTTTGTTTTTTCTTACCCAAGTTTAAATTTCTCATAATTGAAATTTGTTCTATTAGTTTAAGTCGCAGGGAAGACAGCTTTGTATTATTGCTAGAACAGGAAGAACATATTGTTATAATTACTGCTCTATGATTCTGAAGCATTTGAGTCATACGATTTAAGGTCTTAGTCGTCTCATTATAAATTGTTATTATTTGAATCATTGCTTTTTTATTAAATTTGTTTAATGTATATATATATTCATTATTTTGTTTCATACGTAAGGTTCTAAATAATTATCACTCATACGCAGTGGAGGTTTTGCCAACACCGTTAATTTACTGGCTGTTAGAGTAGAATTCGAATTTTGTAATGCCATGCAAATTCGATGTAAGAATAATCAACAGTGTATTGTATTTTAGATTACTTGCAATTTAAGCAACAAAATAAAGCGTTTTAATTGACCAATTTAGCTGGCTCCAGAGTGTTATTTTTGCAAAACGGCAAACCGATGACAGATGTTGCCACTGAACTTGGCAACTGATCGATTTGGATTTATCAGTGCAAAAGCAAAAGTAAATGCCGAAAGCTTACCGATCGCTATGGCTTTGTTGTTATTGCGCCTGCCTTTGTTATTTTGTTGTTGTGTGTGTTTTTTCGCTGTGGCAGATGCGCAGCTTTGGCTGCGAAGTCGCGCATGCGCCGTGGTTGCTGCTTGCCGCTGATGTGGCTGCTGGTTTCTGTGGCTTTGGCTTTGGCTGGTGGCTCGCGAAGAGTGAGTGCATTTGAAGTGTTACATAAAGTACCAAACTTGAAGACATGCCGCTGCCAGCGTCTTCTTCGCATTGTGTTTGGCGCTTTGGAGCTTTTGATTTTCGTCGGTCCGCATTGTTTTTGTTTTTTTTTTTTATTATTGTGTGTGTCTTTATTTTTGCGGCTTTGCCTGGTTATGATTTTGTATAAAAGTGCATGCTGCGCATCAGACAGCAGTGTAGTTCGCATTCGTCCATCGGCAGAGCATCGTCTGCAAAGTGCCCCCAAAAAATATCAAAGAAGCAGCTGGTGCCCAACAAAAACGGTTAGTGCTGCATAAAGGATAACTGATTACATCATACAATATAATTCATTGTCATCATAAGTAACAAAATGTGACAGGATTATTCCAAAGTGTCATATACTAAAAAAAATATAGTTCTTCATCGTCAAAAATAGTGAAGTCAAAAGTTTAAAGTCAGTTTTGTACTTAACATCCTCCTTCGCAAATTTGAGTGTCATTTTTTTAAATATTGAAAAATTAGTTAAAGTTTTTAAAAGTAGTTTAAAACTGTTAAATAGGAATTAAAACAATTAATAATTGTAACAATCAGAAACAAGAAAATATGTAGCAGAATTCTTCTTCTCGGCCTTGTTCGCATTTTAAAATTCTTGCATAACAGCATGGCAAATTCGGAGTTGCCTCACATTCAGCGGGTCATCCAGTCATTTAGGCATACTTTGAAAAGTAATTAAAATTTGTTGCAATTATTAAACAAGCGGCGCGAGCCAAACAATAAAGCAAAGTGCTGAAAAGCCAACAAGACGCAACGGGACGAGTCAAGACGACTCAAAGTGTGTGGCCAAAAGGCGAGACAGTAATTGGCAGCAGTAGCTGTGGAAAGAAATATGTGTCACTCAAAACTCCCAACTCACAACTTACAACTTCCAACTAGCAGTTCGCAACTTGCAGCTCATGCAAGCCAGTGGGGGTGTATAATGGTAATGGCGCTCTGAAATTGCCAACTGTCGGGACTGATTTTGCAATGTCATAAAAGCCAGCTTTGCGCCACTGCCGATCACGCCCACACAGCTTATGGGTCCGTTTTTATTCAATTTCCCCCCAAAAGAAAAAGGCAAGAGTTTCACTCTGCTCCGGATGGGATTCGCAAGCGATTGGAGCGGCTTTTGTCTGCGACGACAGCGATTTTCCAAAAAGCCAAATTAAGTGTCAGTACTTCGGATCGGCTTCAATGCCGGGCGATACGCTCCGTCTGTTGGCCAGTTCTTGGCATTGGCCGACGGACCGAGCCAAGATTGACGAGCGATTTGGTCGCGGCCAGCGTCTTGGCGCCCATAAAAACTTACGCAACATCAACGTAATCTTTCTATAACTATTTTTTGCCCGTAATCCACTTTCAAATGATTTTCTCTAATGCCCCCTTTCTCCCGCTTTGCAGTTCGGTTAATTTGCATTCGAAGTGCATCGAGCTCATCCCCTGGAGAAGCAGCAGCAGCAGCAGCAGCCATGCGAGTGGTAAGTACATTGAAATAAAATAGCATGGATCTGATTCACATTTAATAAGAATTCGCTAATAAGAAAATACAATTTTTGTTTACTTTTAAAATAATTTGCCTTGTTTCGAATATTCTGCCTTTTGCAAATCACTTTAAAATCATAAATTCTAAAAATTATTACAATTTATATATATTTTTAAAGGAGCTGAAAAATATTATGTTTTTGATTAACAATGCCAAGTGATGGATCTGCTTTTCATATAATAAGATTTCGCTAATAAGAAAATAAAGCTTTTTTACTTTTAAAAGAATTTAAATCTTAATATTCTGCCTTTTGAAAATCTTTTTAAAAACATTTTATCTAAAAAATTTTAGAATTTACATACATTTTTAAGAACTAAGCAATGTTATGTTTGATTAATGTTTATATTGATCTTTGTTTAATTTATATTGTTGCTTACAAAAACGTGGTAAACTTATCAGCACTTATAGTTGTTCTAACTTAGTAATTGTATTAAAAATCTTTTTTTAGTATGAAAATTGACAAAGCTTAGATATTTAATATAACTTAATTCTAACGAACCAACCATTTTATAGTTTATGAAAATATATATAGTTTTTTTTTTATAGTTTTTCTCCATGTGCATAGCTTAGGCGATCCCATTGAAGTGGATCCATCGATCGATGCGTCATAAAAAAGCTAATTTACTAATTTCCTCGTTTTTCGCAGCAGCTTTTCGGTGTCATCGCCGTGGCCGTGGTGGCCGTTTCGCTGGTCCGCGATGTGGCAGCGGCCAAGCGAGAGGCGCCGCTGAGCAACGCCTATCTGCCGCCCAGTTCGCCCCAGCGTCCCTCGTCCAAGTATGGTGCTCCACCGGTCAGCTCCTACCTGCCACCCGCCTCTGGTCCGGCGCCTTCGTTCAACTCCGTTCCGTCCAGCAGCTATGCAGCTCCCTCGCTGAGCTCTTCTTCGGGTGGCCCATATGCGGCGCCCGCTCCCCGCCCATCCAGCTCTTACGGACCGCCCGCCTCCCGTCCCTCGTCCAGCTACGGTCCTCCAGCCAGTCGCCCGAGCCATTCGTACGGACCACCGCCGCAGGCCAAGAAGTCCCACCATCGTCGCCCATCCTCCAGCTATGGAGCGCCCAGACCTGCTCCGCCCTCGCCGAGCTATGGTGCCCCGCCCTCCTCTAGCTATGGGCCACCGAAGTCATCGCCGCCTTCCCAGAGTTATGGTGCTCCAGCGCCACCATCCAACAAGTATGGACCACCCAAGTCGGCGCCTTCTTCGAGCTACGGAGCCCCGAGACCCGCACCACCATCATCCTCGTATGGCGTTCCTGCTCCCCCATCATCCTCTTATGGCGCTCCTGCCCCACCATCATCCTCTTATGGCGCTCCTGCCCCACCATCATCGTCCTATGGCGCTCCTGCTCCACCATCTTCATCATATGGAGCCCCAGCACCACCCTCGAAGTCCTATGGAGCCCCCGCACCACCATCTTCATCTTATGGAGCACCCGCGGTCCCTTCAAAGTCCTATGGAGCACCCGCACCACCATCATCATCTTATGGAGCACCTGCTGCTGCGCCCTCCTCCTCCTACGGACCACCCAAGTCCGCACCGCCCGCACCCCCCTCCTCCAGCTATGGAGCTCCGCCGCAGGCCCCCACCAGCTCCTATCTGCCACCCGCCTCGCGTCCCTCGAAGCCATCGTCCAGCTACGGAGCGCCCAGTGTGAGCAGCTTTGTGCCCCTGGCCTCGGCCCCGTCGACCAACTACGGAGCACCGTCGAAGACCCAGAGCCTGGGCAGCAGTGGCTACACATCCGGACCTTCCTCGTCCTACGATGCACCCGTGGCCCCACCATCTTCATCTTACGGAGCTCCCTCCTCCTCCTCCTTCCAGCCGATTTCACCGCCCTCGTCCAGCTACGGAGCTCCCAGCAGCGGATCGGGAGCAAGCAGCGGAAGCTTCTCGTCGGCTCCTTCATCACTGTACAGTGCCCCAGGCAAGGGCTCCAGTGGCGGATCCTTCCACTCGGCTCCATCCAGCTCCTACTCGGCCCCAAGTTCCAGCGCCAACAGCGGTGGCTCATACCCCTCGGCTCCGTCATCATCCTACTCGGCTCCCAGTTCGAGCTCTAACAGTGGCGGACCCTATGCCTCTGCCCCGTCGTCCTCCTACTCGGCGCCCAGCCCAGGATCCAACAGTGGTGGACCCTATCCGGCTGCTCCTTCGTCCTCCTACTCCGCTCCCAGTGCCTCTGCTAACAGTGGAGGTTCTTATCCTTCGGCTCCTTCCTCATCTTACTCGGCGCCCAGCTCAGGATCCAACAGTGGTGGACCTTACCCAGCTGCTCCTTCATCTTCGTACTCTGCACCAAGTTCTGGAGCCAACAGTGGTGGACCTTACCCTGCTGCTCCTTCATCATCTTACTCGGCACCCAGCTCCGGATCCAACTCTGGTGGACCCTATCCTGCGTCTCCTTCATCTTCGTACTCTGCACCCAGCTCCGGATCCAACAGTGGTGGACCCTATCCTGCATCCCCTTCATCTTCGTACTCTGCACCCAGTTCCAGTTCGAACAGTGGAGGACCTTATGCCTCGGCTCCCTCTTCCTCGTACTCGGCACCCAGCACAAGCAGTGGAGGACCCTACCCATCGGCTCCCTCGTCTTCCTACTCCGCTCCCAGCCAGAGTGGCAACAGTGGAGGACCCTACCCGGCAGCTCCGTCCAACTCCTACTCGGCACCTGCCGCTCCCCCATCGTCATCATATGGAACTCCTGTCTCAGGACCTTCGCCCTCGTACAGTGCCCCCTCCTCTTCCTACGGAGCTCCCTCAACCGGATCTGGATCTAGTTCTGGCTCATTCTCGTCCAGCCATCATCAGTCATCGTCGTCCTCCTTCAGCGCGTCCTCCTCGGGCAGCAGTGGCTACCCCTCGGCTCCGTCCAGCTCCTATGGAGCTCCGTCGTCCGGATCCGGTCTGAACTTGCCCAGCGGTCCCTCCTCCAGCTACAGTGCCCCGCCAGCCGGCGGATCCTCCAGCTCTGGCCCCTATCCCAGTGCCCCGGCCCAGGATTCCGGCTATGAGTACAATGCACCCAGCCAGGTGCCCGAAACCATTCAACAGGGATACAGTGCTGATGGCGGCTACACTTACCGCAAGAAGTGAGAAGTGAGCAGTCACAACTACTGCATCGCGTATACGCCACGTGCCTTCGAATACTCAATACCCACACCCACACCCACATCATGTCATCGCCGCCACCATTCACTCGCAATTGTAAATTATTCCCCAAGTGACAACCAATTCGCCCATTCCTCTTTCTCTCCCATGGAAATCTAGCCGTAATTCATTGTACCATTAGATGTAAAACACGAAACGTTTGTTAAATAAACAACTTGATGAAGATCATTGAAGAGCGTAGAAGCCATCAGTTCTGGGCGATCGGTTCCCTTCACATCCGCAGAATCCGCCAGAAATCCATGACATTCGGTGAATTCTTCCGCTCGGCTAATTGGCAGCAGAAGACAGTTGAAGGTTTTAAATCGGCTAACAATGTAAATTGTTCAAAAATACCGGATGCACCGGATAGCTGGCACATCCAACATTCAACGTCCAACATTCAACATCCACTGACACAACACGACTCGGCAGCTCGGGCCACAATTAGAGGGCAATTCTTGAGCGACACAAGTTATGAGCTTATGATGGAGGAGGCGCTCATTTGGCGATTCCAATCTAATTGAGATTACAACTTAATTGCCACTGCAACGGCAACTGCCACTACAACGGCATCATTAGCATGCTAATTGAGACCAGTTGAGATGGCGGCAGTTCTCTGACTTTGGCAATTTAACCGACTGACTTTCGACTAAATAAAATAAGTAACTGTCGCATAGTTGGTTGCCACATGCTCACCGATGAGAATCCCGAAAATGCATTGTCTTTGCGAACCGATGAGATGCGACACCGCCAAGAGCTCTTTGCTCTTTAAGTTGCGCTGAGAAATTTCCACCTGCGATAATAGAATTCTATTGTCTGTGACCCGTCACTTGGCGGCTTTTGTTGGCCCGTAATGCTTGCTTTTATTTCACAAGCCAGATTGGTAAGTCAGGTAAGTCAGTTAGTCGGTTAGTTAGCTAAATATGTGCTGAGAAATAGAATAAATAACTTGACGGCGGTTGGTTGTTTGCGGCAACAGAGAAACCAATTCAATATATATAGATATATATACCTTTTATTTATTAAATACTTTGTTCGTTTCATTTTGCTTGGGTTTTATTCCATTTCGCTATGCTTAAAACATTGATATGTATTCGGTTTAATTTGATCTTAATACATCATGTATATCGTAACCCTTCGTTCTAATCGTTTGCTTTATTTTGGTTAACATAATGCCACTAAGGGAACTTGGAATGGGTAGACCAAGTTTGGTTAACAATAACAGAAGTATATTTTAACTAATTGCAAAACAGAATTGTTTCGACTGTTTTAACCAAGCGAAGTCATCGCAGTTGAATGCATAAATTATTTGGTGGTTTTGGTATAGTTGATAGTAACTTTACAAACGATTTTGAGTAATTTGCTTATTTACAAATCTGGTTAACTGCACAAAGAAACTCCCGAATGAAATACAAACACACTTAATTACATATGTAGGTTCTCTGGAAAAGTTGTTAAACTCCTTAGTCAAACTCCTTAGTTAAACGGACTCAAACACTATCGAAAAGTACACACTCAGATCTGATGCAATAGATAATAACAATAACAACGAACAGATATGTGTGTATCATATGTAGGTAGGTAATCCTAAATGGACTCTTTTTAGTTTCGCTTATGTAAAAGTTAAAAAACTTTACCCCAATACAACAAACATACGAGGCTCAATCAAAAAGCAGTCAACATTCATTACACTTAAGTGAGTTGTATGTAGTTATGGTACTTTATGGAGCTTAAAACCTTATCAAGTTAGTTACGCATATTAGTTTACTTGAGTTGACTTTTGTTAGATTTAGATAACTTCTTTCCAACGGGACGAAAGAGTAACAAACGATCCGAGTGAATTACAAAAAAGAGGAACCAACGCACATCTCTTGATAAAGTATTCAGTTTGGTTAATTTTAGTTTAGTTCTCATTTCCTAAGTTTTACGCTCAGATTCCAGTTGAGGTTTGGGGTTCAGGCAGCGTGTGTTTATATTGAATATGCAGGTTTATTGGATCAATGTCGTGGGTATAACTCTCTAAATTCAGTGGCTGGCCTCTAAATATGTATATATATGCTGTGTATATGATTTTGTATAGGTATATATATATATTTAGGTACTACGACGCAACATGTTATATATATAATTGCTTCATCCTTTGTCTGTCTGTTTTCCTGTGTATTATCTGCCATATACCTTGTGGTTTTGCTCTTTGAGAGCAGCTAAAATTCATTCCTATATAACTCGATATGCCTCGTTTTCGCTCACTTACACAACTACTTGGTTTGGGTATAGTTTATGCATCGTACACCTCGGATTCTCCTATTTAGCTTACAAACAACAGTTACACGAGTGATATGTATATTGATACACTGTACCGCCTTGATACATTTTGATATGTTTCGTTTGCGTTAGTTTGTGGATAGTTTTGCTTAGCTTTGTTCGTTCTGGAAGGACACATGATTCACATTTTATGCATCTATATAGTATATGATCGATATTAGCATATCGCCAGGAATGGTATTACATGTAGTTTAGCCTCTCCACCGGCTTAACGTATTTTAATGCAATTCTCGGGCAAGGAAAAATGCAGTTGATATGTACTCGGTTAATTTCGTTTTCTGCACTTCTGATACCGTTTGAACATTTACACATAGATTCTCTAACATCAAAATGAATACCGATAGAACGCTTGAAGCTTGTAGAAACTATACACAATAAGTGGGCTAAATGAAAATGTAAACCTTACGATCAGCTTTCTGCACTTTTTACCTGAGCACTTGTGTGTTTAACGTACGTTTCCTAATACTTTCTGTACTCCGTCCGCCCTTTGACCTAACTCCCACTCCCATTCCCACTCCCCCTCATTGAAATCCCCCTAACAAGCGCAACTTAAAATCGGATAATTCGCTGGACTCAACTGTGCAGCCTACTTTCGGGCCTTTTGGACTTCCGCTCTGGGCGACCACTCAGAAGGCCGTGTTGTCCTGCTCCGGCGTGGGCATGGCCATTCCACTCTGGCTCATCTGGCCACCGCCTCCTCCGGCCGCCTTCACGCCGGTGGCCGTGTCCAGCATCTTCTTCACCTGCGCCTGCGCCGTCTCCTGGTTCAGGCGCCTCGCCTCCGCCACTGGAAGGTCGTCGTCCGATTCCAGGGCGGGATTTATGCGGCCGTTGCGCTCATCCTTGCCCGCCATGGTGGCGGCTCCGTACGAACGGGCCAGAGGTCCGGCCATCACGGACAGCTGCTCGCCCGACTCCGACGGATCGCCGACGCGCTGCACATCCTCCGGAATGTTGACCACGCAGCGGAAGTAGTCGTAGCTGGGCGGCAGCTTCCCCGACTCGAACATCATTCTGTGTTGGGTAAAAAAGGGGAGAAAGGTGTGTTATTAAATTTATATATCAAAAGGATAATTATAGCCTTAATAAAATTAACAAATAACAATCTGTTTTTTATATTTGAATATGTTTTAGATATTATTTGGATACATATAGTATACAATACTATTAAGTAAACCAGTAAAACTTACAAATAAAAATGTACTTTTTTTTAAATCTTTTCTTTAATCTAGTCTAAATTGAAGTTCAAATTCTTAAATGAAACAGAGAAGTCCTTAAATGCTATAATATACAATATATTATAGTATGGGTCACTAAAAAGAAAGTCTAAAAGTGTGCAATGTAAATTATAAAATTTATTTTTATTCCTAAAATCCAATGCATTTAATTTCATTGCATACTTTTTGGGCTCCTGTCTAAATCATTTTAAAACCCTAGTGATTTCTGTAGTTAGATAGCGTTTGAAGATTGTGTTCATTCTAGTAATATACTCTGTGGTTATAACCCAACTCTGAAATTCACAAGGTTATATACTCACTTAGTCCACCATGAGACCGCAACCAGGGTGATCAGGCTGAGCAACATGGCCATGGTGCGGAAGGGGAACATCTGTTCCTTCGACTCCTCGTCGTAGCCGGGGTACTTGATCAACGGAGCCAGTCCCAGGATGGCCTCGCCGCCCGACAGCCGGATGAGCAGGGCCACAATGTACGCCGACAAGCTGCCGTACGTGTTGCAGTACTTCTTGAAGTGCACCACCATCAGCAGCTGCGGGAACAGGATGACGTAGACCAGATCCGAGCACATGGACCTGTCCGGGACGAAAAGACAGAAGCAGGCACTTTAGCAAATGAGCTGCCAGTCAGATGAATAATGCATCTGCACACGCACCACAAGCCGTAGATGGAGGGAATGGTGAGTGCCATAATGGTGGCCAGGATGCCCACCACAATGATGGCGACGCGCATCACCCAAATGATTTCCATCTCGGACGCCTTCTGACGGAAAATCAATTTGTACACGTTCCGGGCGAACATGGAGGCGGCGGAGAGCACCGAGGAGTCGGCAGAGGACATCACGGCGGCGGAAACGGCGCCCAGGCCAAAGAAGGACACGAAGTCGGGCGTGAGATACTGCAGCACCATGGGCAGAATCATGCTCGTCTCGTCCACGGTGAGGGGATAGGGTCCCTTGTAGTCTGTCTCGTTCCAAGCTGTCAAAAATAAATGGAAATCGGTAAAATGTTCTCTTATCTTAAAAATATTTATACAAAATTAACTGCGATAAGGCGAATAAATAGGGGGTGCTACAGAATATAAGATTTTGAAAGGTGTCTAAAAGTATGCAACAATATATTTCGAGTCCGGAAGTCTTAAAGTTAATTTACAAAAGAGTACCATACTTTTTTCACTGCCTACCTTTAGACACTTTTATAAAGAAACTTATAATTAAGAAGTATTGCTTTTCATTTTGTAGCACTCACGTGTGGCCTTGGCAATCGCTCCGATGAGCACCGGGGGAATGGCCATCAAGATGCATCCAGCGGCGGCCACATAGGACAGCAGTTGAGCCCGTCCGGCCGTCTTGCTGGATAATACCCGCTGGAAGTAGACCTGCCAGGGAATCCCCCCAAAGACGAGCAGCAGTCCGTAGTCTATGTATAGCCAATGCTTTTTCGGCTCCACGTGCCCAATCCAGTCCACCTCCAGGTCGCTCAGGCTGCCCACGTGCTCGTTGCTCCAGGCGAAGGGAATGCACATCCACAGTCCGATGAAGATGCAGAACAGCTGGATCACGTCCGTATAGGCCACGGAGTACAGGCCGCCGAACAGCGTGTAGAAGATGGCTATGCACGAGGACAGGATCACGGAGGTGCGGTGGTCCATGTCGATGATCACCGACAGCGTGGCGCCCAGGGCGGCCAGGATGCCGGCGGCCCAGAAGACCTCGCCGCAGAGGGCGGGCAGGAAGAGCAGACCGCCCATCCGCTCGCCAAACGAATCCTGCAGCGGGTCCAGCATGGTGATGTATCCCTGCTTTCGCATCGGATTAGCGAAGAAGATGCCGCCTAAATTTAGAAAATGGAGGAGAGGTTAAAAACACAATTAACATATATTATATTTCAATTCAAAGATCCTTTTGAGTTTATAAACAACAAATAAATAATGTTCAAAAAACTTAGAAAAAAACTTGGTAAAAAACTTAGAAAATCTAATAGTGTTATATTATTTAAATATTTTTGGCTTTTATTTTTGTTTATTTTAAGTTAGTAAGTTTAGTAATTTTAAAGATTTTAATATTTAATTTGATTTTAGTGTCTTTAAATTTACGAATAATTTTAAACAATATTAAATTTAAATCAAATGCACTTAACATATTACACATTTTAAATTACAAATTGTGTTTGTTTTAAAATATCTTAATATTAAATCATTTAATTTAGTCTGAATTGTATTTAATTGAAACATAAACAACTTTGGATTCAACATCTATATATTTATATGTACTAATACATTTTTTTTGCCAGTGTATCTGTGTCGTCCACTCACCGAAAACCAAACTGAGTGCGTAGCCAAATGGAGCCTGGCACCACACCAGTCCCGATGTGTATATAGCCTCCGCCGTGCCGTTGATGTAGCCGCCACCCACCCAGGTGGCCGTCATGGTGAAGATGCCCACGAAGAGGCCGATGGAGCGGCCGGCCAGCATCACCTCCTCCTCGGAGTCATTGCCGGACTGCTTCTTGCGACCGGCCCAGATGCCCACCACCAGGATCAGGAGGTAGAAGAGCACGATGCTCACCACGCCAGCGATATTGATCATACTTGAAACTCAGTCGTGTCCTTGGCTTCGAAAATCACAGCACTCCGCGCACTTGTGTAAAATAATACCCTCGGAATGGGGTTGACCTTTAGCTGTAATGGAACACAAAGTGGGGGGAGTGGAGGCACAATGAGTTACAACCTTGAGCATAATGGTTAATATCGCTGCTCGCTTTGCAGGAGCTCATTTTTCAATTAACTAGCGACAGCACGAAGCATTAAATATTAAGCCAATGCATTGGCCATGGCCACCGGAGCGCCTGACCTTTGCCCCCAAGGATATAATCGTAGTTGGACCCACCCTTTAGTCCACCCCAGCTCTGACCAAATGCGTCCTTGCTAATGGCGCGCAATTAACTAGTGGTTGCATTGAGATTGACCTCCACTGCGATTGTACCTTTAGACACCCCTCTAATAACAATCGCCACAAAGGTTAGAATATATTTTATATTTTTGGAAATCTTATTAAAGGACATATTTCTAAAAAAGGTAACTTGCATTGAGTTTGACCTGTACTCTAGACACACTCCTAATAATAATCATGAGTAACAAAGGTATGTCTATATCAATAGTTCTGGAAATCTTATTAAAGGATATTAATAATCTATTGTGATTATACTTTTAGGCACACTTTTCATAATAATCCTCTATATATATAATTATGGAAATCTTATTAAAAGAACAATTTTTCTGAATAAGCAAACTTGCATTAAGTTTTGACCATTACTACTATTAAACTTTTAGACAAACTTCTAATATTAATTGCCATAAAGTTTGGAAATCTATTAATCGACAAATATTCTAAGCCTCCTTTCTTGAATGATAGGGAATTAATAAGATTGTTTATATACCTCAAAGTCTTAAACAATTTTAAACGATTTTTTTTTAATAAAACAAAGTTATAATCTTTTGATTTATTGACATTTATGATTTCCAAATACAAATTCAAAAAGAAATTCATAAAAAATATTAATATTAAATAAGACAAAGAACTAATCTTTAGATTTATTGACATTTTTGTTTTCCAAAAATTCATTAAAAAATATTATTTTAACAATAGTTGAGCTTTTAGATACCAAACAATGTAAGCAATACATAAGGACATTTAAATGACCGGAAATTAATTCTGATTGCAGGCGCACGCACGTTTCTTGGTTATGTAACAAAGAAACCGAGTTCGGACTCCGACTTATGTAAAATACATAAACAATTCAGACCTCCTCGTGTGGGGAGTCAAGTACGTCATAGGCACGACAAACAAGCGCCCCAATGGCACCCAATCCCGCAGGGGGCTTCATTCACAAAAATTGAGCAAAGCACGGAGCGCATCGGTTGGGGTTAGGGTTAGGGGTACTGGTCGGGGTACTGGTGGTAGTGGTTGTGGTAGTGGCACTGGTAATCCCCGCGTGCAATCTGCGCATGACCCAGCGCATTTGCGGGCAATCGAACGAAAAGCGACTCACCTCTGCCTTTGCGTTTGTGCGCCAAGTTCAAGCGGACGCCAAATTGGGATTTTGGAGCGTAGCGACGGCAATCAAAGAAGCGCGCCAATCAAATGCGCCTTGGCTTATGCAACATTTCCTGCTCCAGCGAGGGCTTTCGGGATTCCCCGTTCAATAACTTTGATCACAAGTCGTGGGAACTTGAATCACTTGAATACCAGACTAGACCAGGCAGCAGTCGCCCCAACGGAGGGACGTCTTCTGAGACGGACTGTTACGCGTCCTAAAATGTAACCCGCACATGTGCTCCGGCTGTTGAGGGAACGCGTGTCGGCCGCATTAAAACCAATGCCACTAACTCCGCACCCGTGAAATTATCGCAAGTATTCCGGATTATATAAATAATGCAATCAAATTCGGTTTGCTTTGCCCAGCCCTCTTAATGCGATTCCAACTTCAAGGTGCGACGATATCAAATCGATATTTGGAAATTAATTTAGCAATTGAACTAAAGCCATTTGGTTTCCATAAACAAATGAGCAGTCGACTACGGGCAATTGGCCAACTGAAAACACGTTTCCACGTTCAGCCGTCGTACCGTGCTGGCGGTTAGAGCGACGAAATTATAACTGAATTGGAAGTTCAAGTACTGGAGTCCCATCGGCGACCCGATGGCCTCTTCGACGCAAATGGCAGAGCGAGCAGAGCCGAGTGGGCGTTCATTTTCTGTGCATGTGCGCAGGAATTTTCATCGAATCAGCGGGTGAACCGAGTCGCTGGAAGCCGCCACTCGACTCAAATTAGGGGTGATTGCCAGCGAAGGGGAGTTTGCCAGCATTGGAATTGTGGTGGAAAGCTCATGCCCTCGGCGCTGGAGTCGCCAAAGAGGCCCATTGAAAAGAGAGTGCAAAGGTTTAACATTTACAAAGTTACATTAAGAGGGTCTTAGAGAATACATCAATTACAGGTCTAGAATAGTTTTAAAAAGTATTCCTAAATTGAATATTTGAAGTATTCCAACGGTATTGCTACCGCTGTGCTAGTAGCCGAACTTCTCGTTCAAATGGGTGATGCCGTCACCGCTCTGGTTGGATGGCGGCACCCACTTGGCGTACTTCTCGCTGTCTTCGTGCTCGGCCAGCTCGTCCAGGTCCATGTCCACATCCTGCCGCTGCTTGTTGCGTTGTCGCTGGCGCTGCCGTCGCTTTTTCTGCGCTTCTTCTGCTCCCGGTTCCGGGGTTTCGTCTGCTGGCGTGCTGCCGACTTCCATCGCTTCTGTCGCCTTCGTTGAAGCAACAGTGTCGCTGGGAGCTGCTAAAGTTTCCGCTGTAACTTTTGTTGACTTTACGTTGTCTGGTTCTAAGACTTCCGCTTCGGCGTTTGCTGGTTTGCTCTCTTCCGTTTCGGCAGGAGATTTGCTTTCCTGCAAGCTCTGAATCTCTGGAGTCGGTGGCTTTGCCACAGCTTCCTGTTCCGCCGCCGCCTCCGAATCTCCCTCCCCCGAAACGTGCGCCTCCTTTTCATGGGACTCTTCCTCCTCGACTTCCTCCTCGTCCGAGGCAAATGCATTTGATTGGGGCTTAGTCTGTGTGCTTGGCGGCGCCCGGACTACCTTGAATTTGCTGAACTGATTCCGCTTGCCAATCATGGGCAGCTGCTTCCGGGCTGCACTGCTCTCCTGGCCGGAAGAATCCTTGGCTGTGGCTCTGGCACTGATTGTGGCGAAGGGCAGAGCTGTTGGCTTTGCAATCCTCAAGAGGCGTTCAATCTTTTGCTGCTCGCCCTTGAGCCGTTGCTGCTCCAACTGTTCGGAAGATTATAAGTTTAACAAGGATTCAAAACACATTTTATGCTTTCACTACTAACCCTTAGCTTTTTGATCTCCGTCTTATCCAGCTGCTCAACATCCTCGGTCAGCATGTCCATGAAGTTGTCCAGATCATCGCCCCCAGATTGCTGTTTGACGGCCATCTCTTTTAACTTTTTCTCCTTTTGCTGGTAAGATGCGATTTCCAGTTCCACCTTTTCCATTTCCAAGTTGATTTCAATCTCCTGTTTTAGCTGTAGATGGTTGATTCGGTTAGAAAGTATTCAAGGGAGAGGCTTGCCAGGACGTACCAAATCCTCGTAGGTGAGGGTAACGCTGGCACCGGCGTTCTCCTTGCGCTGCTTCTTGCGCGCCACGTCCCCAGTGCGATCCCAAAACTCATCCTCGTCGTCCGAGTCCCCCGACTTGATAATCTTTCGCTTTTGCGCCTCCTGGTTGGCCTGCCGCAGTACACCGTGCCTGTCCAGCGTGCGACACGCCTCCAGGGCGCACTGAACGACGCAGTCCTTCTTGCGGCCCTTGTGGTTGACCTCCACGGTGATGGGTCTGCCATTGGAGTCGTCCAGCGGCAGCTCCACCCTGCAGACGAAGGAGCCGGAGGACAGCTCATCGCACCTGTACTCCAGATTGAGACCCTCGCGCTCGAAGAAGCCGCGCAGGGTCTTCTTTGGGTCGTCGAAGAAGAGCTCCTCGTTGTTGGTACTGGCATAGGGATTGTGGCTGAGATCCGTCTCCTCGTCGGCGTCGTCGCCCATGCCCCAGCTGACGCCCTCGTTGCGCTCCCGCTCCTCGGCCTGCAGCAGCCGTATTTCCCGCTCCACCGCTGCGTCGGCCAGCTCCTTTTCCCGCTTCTGGCGCAGCTCGGTGACGGATAGCTCCGATTCGGGCTCCTCATCCTCGCCGGGACCCTGCAGGATGTAGACGCGGGTGCTGCCGCCCAGCTTGAGCATGTGGCCGACCCGCATCCGGATGTAGACCTTGGGCGGCACACGCTGTTTGTTCAGAAAGGTGCCGTGTGTGCTGCCCATGTCGTAGATGTACCAGCCCTCCGGCTGCTCGTTCCTGGCCAGCTCCTCCTCCTGGTCTTCGGCCGCCTCTCCTTCCTCGAAGTCCGGCTTTGGCGGCTCCTTGGGTTTGTACTGCAGCACCACGTGGAAGCGCGAGATCGTCGGATGGGCGGCGGGCACATCGTTCTCAGGCAGACGGCCGAAGGTCCACACTGCCTGTTGCTGCAGCTGGCGCACCGTGTCGATGATCTGGCCGGATTTGAGCACCTCGAAGCTGTAGTTCTGGTCGCCGGCTGGCGGAGCGGACCACTTGGGCACCTTGTACGGGCAGACGGCCGCTGGCGAGGATTTGGGGGCTTTGGGACTCTTCGGCGGCGGAGGTGGCGGCTCCGCGGGAACTTCGGAGCGCGGCTTCTCCGTGATGATCATCTTGGGTTTGGGCAGTGGAGCGGGCACTTTGAACTCGTTCATGCTGACGGTTGTGTGAAATATGTTAATTTTCCGAAGAGTAAACAAATTTTCGCAAAGTCCGCAGCTGATTCTCAGCGCAGTGGGACCAGATTTAGACCGCCAAAAAATACCGCACCTTCTCAACAGTTGTCCCAAAAATATGTTCTTTTATTTGTTTTTTATCAGTTAATTTTTTAAATTTCATGTGCAACAAATAAGCGTCCGTGGATTACCTGTTTTTTTTTTTTTTTTTAATATCGGACCATAAATTTTAATGCTAAAAATAACCAATGATGAATTGGGTGCTTGGGATACTTTGATTTTTGTTTGTTTTTTCAAAAATGCATTAAAGTCTTTATACCAGTCTTTTTCAAAAACTAACTGTTTGGTTTTAATAAAACTTTTTAAAAATAAGTGAATACTACCGCCATTTACTTTCCGAATCTAATTTGACCCACGTTTATATTACTTATTATTATTATTTATATATTAATTTTATTGTCCCAAAATATTACTTGCATTGTCCCAAAAATATGATATTCACTGTGAGCTCGATGGATGTTTACACGGTCACACTAAGCCCGCGTCGTTTTGTTTTGTTTTTTTATTTTTTTGGTTGCCAATTCAACTATTATATTTAATGAATAGTTGAAATCTCAAATGTCATGGCGTTTTCGCAGTCATTTAATTTCGGGAACAGCACCTTTATGGAGCTGGAAAAGGGGATGCAAGCGGCCGGAAAGGAGAATACGCACTCCGGAAATGCCAATGTCAAGGGAGCAAGTGCTGGCAAGGATTCGAAGGTGGCCAGCCAGGATAACTACTCGGAGTTTTTCCGCGACGAGTTCTCCTACGAAGTCAATCAGGCCAAGAAGCCCCCGGAGCAGTCCCTGATCAACTTGTCCCAGGTAGTGGAGCATCTGGAAGGAGTTTCCCACCGGGACTCCGGAGATGTGAGCACCTCATCCGCATTCGATGCCCAAATTTGCACCGAAGATGTGTTCGATACGGAGCACAAGGACAATGACAAGGAGCTGCCCAATCTGGACGAGAGTAGCTTCCTCTGCCCCGCCCAGGATGCGCAGGCTTCGCAGCAGCTCAAGGAGGACATTCTGCGCAGTCGGTGCGTCCTGGCCAAGCAGAGTGGCTACCAGGAAACCTCGCGGATCAGCCAGAACCTGAGCAGCATGTCACCAAACCAACTGCGAGTGTCACCCAACTCGTCCAGCGTTCGTGAAGCTCCGGTGCCCGAGAGTAGAGACCCGCCACCCGACCTGGAGTCCCTCAAATCCATAGCCGCGTGGAACCTGCCCCACAGCATTCAGGCTGAGTACCAGAAGAAGGGCGTCGTCCGGATGTTCGACTGGCAGGTGGAGTGCCTCTGCAAGCCAAGGGTGCTCTTTGAGCACAGCAACCTCGTGTACTCCGCACCCACGTCGGCGGGCAAGACGCTGGTCAGCGAGATCCTGCTGCTCAAGACCGTCCTGGAGCGCGGCAAGAAGGTGCTGCTCATCCTGCCCTTCATCTCGGTGGTGCGCGAGAAAATGTTCTACCTGCAGGATCTGCTCACGCCGGCTGGCTACCGCGTGGAGGGATTCTACGGGGGCTACACACCTCCCGGCGGCTTTGAGAGCCTCCATGTGGCCATCTGCACCATCGAGAAGGCCAATTCGATTGTGAACAAACTACTGGAGCAGGGCAAACTGGACTCGATAGGCACCGTGGTGGTCGACGAAGTCCATCTCATTTCGGACAAAGGACGCGGCTACATTCTGGAACTGCTGCTGGCCAAGATCCTGTACATGTCGCGACGCAATGCCCTACAGATCCAGGTGATCACCATGTCCGCCACCCTGGAAAACGTGGAACTGCTGAAGAGCTGGCTGGACGCCGAACTGTACATCACAAACTACCGTCCGGTGGCTCTCCAGGAAATGATTAAGGTGGGCACCAAGATCTTCGATCAGCAGCTGAAGTTCCTGCGCGATGTTTCGCAGCAGAAGGAGATGCGACAAGCCCTGGGCAATGATTCAGACGATGTGGCCCTGCTCTGCATTGAGACGCTGCTGGACGGCTGCTCCGTCATCGTGTTTTGCCCCTCGAAGGACTGGTGCGAGAACCTGGCCGTCCAGCTGGCCACCGCCATGCATGGTCTCATCAAATCCGGCTCCGAACTGGGCCTGCGTCTGCGGGCCAATCTCAATCCGATGGCCATTGAGGAGGTGAAACAGCAATTGAGGGATATTCCCACAGGTTGGTAGAAGGAAGTTTGTAACATTTCCATTTCTATAAAGTATATATATTCTTTTTGATTATAAACTGACCCTTAATGATGTTTTCATAAAACCTGTATCTTTAAATTCGATCGAAAACGGTTGAATATATCTTATTTTACCTTCAGATTCGATCAAAA